TTTTCCTTTTTTTGTTCAGGTAGAGAGGGAGGGAGAGAGGAACAGAGAGAGAGAGAGAAACATCGATGTGAAAGGAACACATCGAGTGGCTGCCACCCGCACAACCGACCAGGGCCAGGGACAAACTGCAACCGAGGTACGCGCCCTTAGCGGGAACTGAACCCGGGTCTCTCAGGACTGCAGGCCGACGCTCTAACCGCTGAGCCAAACCGGCCAGGGCTCAAATAGGTTTTCAATTTCTTGCTCTCTCTCTCCTGGCAAACTCATGATGTGAATGTTAGTACGCTTGAAGTTGTCTCAGGGGCTCCTTCATCATCATATTTTTGGATTCTTTTTTCTAATTGGGTGTTTCTGCTTCCTTATATTACAAATTGATGGTTTGTTTGCTTTTTGGCTTCACCTACTCTATCCACTATTGATTCCCTGTAAATTATCCTTCATTTCTGACTGGTCCTTTTTTATGCTCTTGAGGTCCTCACTAAGTTTGTTGTTGTTCTCACTAAGTCCCTTGAAATTCTCACTAAGTTCCTTGAGCATCCTTATAACCAGTGTTTTGAACTCTGCATCTGTTAGATTGCTTATCTCTGTTTCACTTAGTTCTTTTCCTGGAGTTTCATTCTGTTCTTTCATTTGGGACATGTTTCTTTGTCTCCTCATTTTGGCTCCTTCCTGTGTTTGTTTCTATGTATTAGGTAGAGTTGCTATGTCTCCTAGGCTTCCTAGGATGGCCTGTTGTAGTAGGTGTCCTGTAGTGTCCAGTGGCACAGCCTTCCTAGTCACCCCAGCTGGGCCTTCAAGGTGCACCCCTAGTGTGGACTGTACACCCTTCTGTTGTAATTGAGTATTGATTGCTATTGGCATGTCAATGGGAGGGATTAATTCAGGCTGATCAGCTGCAAGAACTGGCTGTGCCCACTGACCACTGACCTGTGACTACCTTGGAGGATCGGCTGTACAGGGCCCACCACACAGAGTGAGACTTAACTTCATCAGGGCTCTGGTACCCACTGAGTCCACTCCTTGAGTGTGTCGCTTGTGGAGGTGGTTGGGTGGTGGTGCTTCGCTGTAGTCTAAAGCTATCCGCTGGCTCTAGGGCAAGGTCAGCCACTGCCTGTGTTCTACCTGGGGCCACCAGGCATAATTTACAAAGTGATCTGCAGATGGCTGCTTCTTGTGCTGGGCTTGAAGGTGCCCAGGCAAAGCCAAGTTGTGAACCAAGGCTGGCTGCTCTTAGTGCAAGGCCTGGGGCCACTTAGCTAGGTATGGGGCTCATTGAGGCCAGTTGCTGTTTGAGAGAATTTAGGAAAATCTGAAGCAGAAGCCAAGACAAACCAATCCTATGGTAAAGCCACCAGAAACAGCTTGGGTGGGCCAGAAAGTTGGGTGGGGCAGGGCCTTAGGGAGTTACCAGGACTATGCAAACAGTGTGAATCAGGTTGCTGGAGTCCCAGATATGGCCCATGCGACAAGGGTTCATCAAAGAAACAAGGGTCTCCACCAGCACTCAGTAGGGGAGAAAGCTGCATCTCCAGCTCTTACCCCAATGCCAAATAACTCAGTTCTTCCCAGTATGTCTCTGGCGCCCCTCAAGCTGCCTCCCCCACACTGGATCCTGGAGGGAGTGGGTCCAAATAAGTTCATGTGCAGGCGCTTTAAGAGGAACTTCCTGGGACTCCAGAAGCCTCAGCCTCCCTCAGCCTCAATTCCCACTGCGTTTTACAGCCAGAAGTTATGGGGACTTCTCTTCCCAGTACTGGAACCCTGAGCTGGGGGGCCTGGTGTGGGATGGAGACCCCTTGCTCCTCAGGGAGGACTTTTCCAGCCAAGGTATTCTCTTGATTTTTATTTTCCACACTTGAGTGCGGGACCAGCCAGTCTCCCCCTCCTACCTGTCTTCTTCATGTGGCTTCTTTAATTTCGTAGTTGTAGGACTTCCAGTTAGCTCGATTTCAGGCGGTTTTGGATGATGGTTGTTCTGTAGTTTAGATGTAATTTTGATGTTGCTTGTATTTTCTTTTTTTTATCCTCACCTGAGGACATTTTTACATTTATCTTCAGATAGAGCGGGAGGGAGGGAGAGAGGAAGAGAGAGAAAAACATCGATGTGAGAGAGACACATCGAGTGCCTCCCACCCACAAGATCTCAACCGGGGCCAGGGACAAACCGCAACCGAGGTACATACCCCTAGCAGGATCCGAACCGAGGACTCTCTGGTCTGCAGGCGGATGCTCTAACCGCTGAGCCAAACAGTCCAAGGCTGCCTGTGTTTTCTTGAAGTAGGATATCCTGAATGCCTTCCAAAGAAGATCAATCAGGATGGTGAAAGAACTAGAAAGTATGTCACTTTAGGAGCATTTAAAGAAATTGAGGAATTTTTGCGTGGAAAAGAGATTTAATGTGAACAAAAGCTCAGAGTTAAATATTTGAAGAGTTTTTGTGTACAAGAAGTGTTAAACTTATTTTGTGTGGCTCGGTGGTAGAAGTATCGCCAGCAGGTCAAAGTGTCATACAGTGTATTCAATTACATGTAGGTCACTTAGTATAGAAATTGTAGAGAGGATTAAAATGCTGGAATGCCTTCGCATTCTAAGGTGCTGTGACTGTGATTTTTAGGCTTTATATTTCAAATCGATAGAAAATCCTTTCTTTAGTTTGGAAGACCAGAGGAAATAGTTCAAGAAGCAGAATCAAAGAAAAATAGTTCCCATGGTATAGGAGATTTTGGAGAAAAGGAAACTGGAAAGACCAGAGTTTTTTCTAGTTTAGAATTCGAATTCTGGGTTATTAGTCACTATTTAAAATCAGGTCTGTGGCCTGGCTGGTGTGGTTCAGTGGTTGAGCACTGACCCATGCACCAAGAGGTCGCTGGCTTGATTCCTGGTCAGGGCACGTGCCCAGGTTGTTTGGCCTGATCCCCAGTGGGGGGCATGTAGGAAGCTGCCAATCAGTGTTCTCTCTCATCGATGTTTCTCTCTCTCTCTCTCTCTCTCTCTCTCTCTCCTTCTCCCTTCCTCTCTCTCTAAAATCAATAAGGGACAAAAAATTTTTAATCAGGTCTGTGTTTCATAATTGAGAAAAATTCCATATATGATCTCAAAACATATACCCATTAACCATATGTACCTTCCATAAATGCATGATGTGGTGAGACATGAAATCCCATCAGAATATAAAAAAGCCAGAATATAAGGAAAAAATGTCCAGGAAAGCTATTTCTTTCTAAGAGGGAGTTGTACATGATCTTTTCATTCAGCTTAAATTGTAAGAATGCAAGATAAAGTGTCCTTATCACTGGAGGTCTTTCCAAATTTAATAGCTTCCTATGAGCTTCTTTTCATGCTATCTCCCTCAAACCTAAAAGAAAACAAGGCAATTCAGTGGCATATATTTGTAGTCCTACTTCAAAAGGTAGAACCAACCTTCTCAACATTCTTTTTCTTTAGAAACCCAGGTCTCTCATTTTTTAGTTGCTTCATCCTAGATGGTATAATTTCTCCTTCCCCAAAGCAAAGAAATCAGTCAAATTGTTTCCACCAGGATGTGAGATATTTTAAACCAAACTCTTTATAGGCAAATTTAAGAAAATTAGTCTCCCTTGAAAAGCTTCAGATCTTTTCCATTGCCATTTTCACTCATTTGACACTTCTGAGAGGCCATTCATAGGTGATCAGGCCTTTACTCATTGGATATCTTTCGGTGTTTCTTCCTGCCTTGCCTGGATGAGAAGCACAGACGTAGTGTAAGATCGTCTCCAGGTGTGTTTTATGAGCCCACAACTTTCCTGAACCACAGCTTTTCTAGATGCCCCCAAGTGATTTTAAACTTGTGGTTGAGAGGCCTCTCCTTCCCACCACCATTTGACTTCAAGCATCCCAGGATTAGCTCAGCTGGGCCTGACATCTAAGCAGTGTAGAAAAAGTGAGGGCAGGAATGAAACCATCTTTGCTGTTGCTCACCTCCATCATATTAGAGAAAAAGAACTATTACCACCTTTTCTAATGTCGTACACACCAGATTATCTTCAGTTTGCTCAACCACCAAGAATGTTTTTAGGGATTAAGGTAACAAGGGAACAGTAAGAAACAAACTCCTCTTTCACCAAGAATTCCAGGATATGGCAAGAATAGAACAAAGGATCCACTTTGTCATAAAGCTGAGCTGTAATGCCAGCGGTTCCTGCTTCTGTCATGGTGCAGTGTCTGGGCCTTCGTCTCAGATTGTTTATTGTTCCCTGCAAAGCCATTCATGGCTTCACAATTCTGTGAGGTGGTGGCACCACTGCTAGAAAAGTACTCTCTTTTCTTCCGGATTTTCTCCAGTCCTACTCCTAGGACCAAGTTCTAATTTTTTTCACTGATCAGGTGATCAGCCTTTCCTTTCTTTGTTACTCTGAAGCCCTATTTTTCTAACTTTTAGCCTTTAGCACCAGATTTTGGGGTGAAATCGCCATCAAACATGAGGCGTTCCCTAGAAAAGTTTCTCTTATATTGTTTTCAGTACTTTAATAGTCAATTTGTCTTTATTTGCTTTTGATAATTGGGTAATTAGTCATTCTGGTTGGCAGAAAAAGTGTTCACAGCTCTCCAGTGGCCAATAGAGCTGTTTGGGAAAGGCAGGCACTGGATTCAGGAATCATTTTATTTTCCTGAAAAATAATATCGTAATACTTGAATGGATTTAAATTACATCTTTTTTTTTCCCTTTCAGGGTCTTTATAGCATTATAAGTATTTTTTCCCCTTCAGAATCTTTGTAAGTATTCACCCATAGTGTGAAGCAGTGATATATCTCCATTAATAGTTAGGGAAACAGAAGCCCTGAGCATTAAAAGGATTTGGCCGAAGTTATTCATAAAGCCTGGGCTTCACATTTCTTTGACTTGCAGTTCGGCGCTTTGACCAAGGACTGAACTTCTTAGAAGTTCATCTTTTAACTGGGAAGATACAGATTCAACCTGAAAGGAATTATAGGGTTAAACTATACTCATTTCTCTCTTTCAGCAGGCTTCTGCGGGGCCCCTTGACATGTCTCTGCCTTCCACACCAGACATTAAAATCAAAGAAGAGGAGCCGGTGGAGGTAGACTCATCTCCACCTGACAGCCCTGCCTCCAGCCCCTGCTCCCCACAACTCAAGGACAAGGTAAAATTCTCTACCAAAAGTCATCCCAAATGTTAATTAACAGATTACATTTTGATTCATTAGTTGTATAAATAGTGTGTGATACAGGAGGATGGAGTATATTCAAATAAATGTTCATTGTTTAGAAGATTTATATAAATTATACCTATTATGTGACCCAGCTACTCTACTTCTAAGTCTGTGTAGAAATGAAGTTAGTGCGTGAGAATGTTCATAACAGTTATTGATAATAGTCGAAAAACTGGAAGTAGAAAATGAATAAAGTATAGTATATTTATAAAATGGGATACTACATGACATTAAAAAGAATGAACTAATTATATACACATCAATATGGGTGAATCTCACAAATGTTATATAGAACAACAACAAAACTCGGACACAGAAGTACATACTATATGATTTTATTTACATCAGGTCCAAGAAGAGGCAAAATTATTTGATGGTGATAGAACTCAGAATAATGTTTAACTTCTTGTGAGGAAAGGTATGGATTGGGAAGGAATGCAGGAGAACCTTCTGGGGTGCTGGAAATGGGCTCTGTCTTGATTTTACATATGTAAAAAGTCATTGAGTTATATCTTTTAGATTAATGCACTTTATTGTATGTATGTTGTACTTCAATTAATAAGTGAAAATCACATAATTTATATACTGGACATTAAATAGTTTAGAATAAAGTCTTCCCAGAGGGAAGTCTTATAGTGACTTAAAGGGAGTATCTGCTAGGATTCTGAATATTTTTTTAAAGGAAACTTTTTATGAAGTGGTATTTTTTACAAATTTACTGAAATACAGTACATGTATAGAAAAGTACATAAATTATAAGTATACAGCTCATTGAATTTTTATAAACTTTACAGATTTGTAACTAGCACTCAGATATTATCAGAACCTCAAAAGCACCCTCATGCCTCCTTCTAGTCTCTACTGTTCTACTAACAGTTACTAGTTTTAATATCTACTTTGAATAGTGCATCTACACCTCATAGGTTACCTCCCTTCAAATTTGGTTTGATAACTTCTCAAAACTACTCCCTGCATAAACATTACCACCTTCCCCCCACAAAAAACCAACAACATTACAACCTTCCCCTCTCTTTCCTTTTTATCAGCAACCAGGTCCTAGAAGCTGCCTGGAGATGCTTTCATGGCCAATGTGGCCACTGGTAACCTAAGATCCTAAGAAGTTAACAGTGGGAAGCAGTTTGTTTTATTACAATATGATCATTATTTAAACTTCCATAGCCCTTTTGTAAAGAAGTTACTGGGTTGCCTTATCACCAGTCTTATACCTGCCTTTTCCTGTTAGAGATCACAGGACACTCAGGTATCAAGTTTAGAATGACAGTATCTAGACTGTGAAAAATTATAACAATTTTTAGAATTTGTGTGACTACATTGATTCTACAAAGATTTCAGGTGATTTTTCAACTGTCTTCTCACTTATATAGCCATCATCCCTGATGAAAGGGAGCTAGCCAAAAGGTCTTAACTCAGCAATTTTACTGAATGGGTGAGTGAGGTATGGTCCATGACCATGGAGCAACATGACTTGCTCTAATGCACTTTCCAATAAATTTGTGCTAGATTTTACCAGTTACATATTTCCCTATAAGCAGCCCCTTAAAGCATTTTGTGATCTGTTGATCTCTTCTCCCCAGGAGGTTGCTCTAAAGCCTGTTGTGATCTCTACCCCAACACCTACTATTGTACGCCCTGGCTCCTTGCCTCTCCACCTGGGCTATGATCCACTTCACCCAACCCTTCCCTCCCCAACCTCTGTCATCACACAGGCTCCACCGTCCAACAGGCAACTGGGGTAAGTAAAGAGCAGAGAGAAATAATGAAGCCTGAATCTTTTTCTACTTTGTAAAATTAGTTGATAAAACACGGACTGGCCCAGCTGGTTTAGCTCAGTGGTTGAGCATCAACCCATGGACCAAGAGGTCACTGGTTCAATTCCCAGTCAGGGCACATGCCTGCGTTGTGGGCTCAATCCCCTTGAGGGTGTGCAGAAGGCAGCCAATCGATGTGTCTCTCTCATCAGTGTTTCTGTCTCTCTCTACCTACCCCTTCCTCTCTCTTTAAAAATCAATAAAAACAGCCCTGGCCGGTTTGGCTCAGCGGTTAAACTGTTGGCCAGCGGTTCAGAGAGACCCGGGTTCGGTTTCCGCTAAGGGCATGTACTTTGGTTGCAGTTTGTCCCTGGTTCTGGTTGGGCCCTGCGGGTGTCAACCACTGGATGTGTCCCTTTCACGTCAATGTTTCTCTCTCTGTCTCTTCCTCTCTCTCCCTCCCATTCTGTCTGAACAAAAAATGGAAAAATGTCCTCGGGTGAGGATTAAAAAAAAATCAATAAAAACATATATTTAAAAAAAAAAACGGACTGTTTAAATGCTCAAGAAAAATGAGTCACTGTGACTGTCTCTCAAAATAAAATTATCCCCCTATAAATAGATTCCTTTCCTTTTTCAGTAGATCAGCAAGTATTTATTTGAGGATAATACTTCATTAATTAGGAGGTTTAATACTTATTTGATCTAAAAGAAAAATGCTTAAAATTTTAGGAAGTTCATCATAATGGTGGAGGCCACACAGGAAACTATATTTAGTACTTGGCCTTAATCGGTAGACATTATTGTATTACTACTGAATGAGGTGGTGAAACCCATTAAGTCATCTTTTTTTTTTTTTTTATCCTCACCCGAGGACATTTTTCCATTTTTTGTTCAGGTAGAGTGGGAGGGAGAGAGAGGAACAGAGAGAGAGAGAGAGAAACATCGATGCGAAAGGAACACATCGAGTGGCTGCCACCCGCACGACCGACCAGGGCCTGGGACAAACTGCAACCGAGGCACGCGCCCTTAGCGGGAACCGAACCCGGGTCTCTCAGGACCGCAGGTCGACGCTCCAACCGCTGAGCCAAACCGGCCAGGGCAAGTCATCTTTTTTTAGTATTTCCCTCATTTCGTTAGGATTCTTGGTCTTTGCTACTCCTGATTTTGTTTGTCTATTTGTCTTAACTCTGGGCACAGCCTGAACATATTTCCTAATGGGATGACTTGCCATCCTATCCCTAAGTACCCACTGAGTTAAGTTATTATCAGTCCTGGACGGTTTGGCTCAGCAGTAGATCGTTGGCCCAAGGACCAAAGAGTTGTGGGTTCAGTTCCGGTCAAGGGCACATACTTTGGTTGCAGTTCGGTCCCCAGCCCTGGTCAGGGTCATGTGGGAGGCAACCAGTCAATGTGTCTCTCTCACGTTGATGTCTCACTCTCCCCCTCCTCCCTTCTTCCCCTCCCACTCAATCTGAAGATGAATGGAAAAATATGCTCGGGTGATGATTTATTTATTTGTTTGTTTTCTTTATTGATTTTAGAGAGAGAGGGAGAGAGAGATAGAAACAGTGATGAGAGAGAACATCAATTAGCCACCTTCTGCATGTCCCCCGCTGGGGATTGGGCACACAACATGGGCATGTGCCCTGACTGGGAATCGAACTGGCGACCTCTTGGTGCATGGGTCGACACTCAACCACTGAGCCACACTGGCTGGGCTTGGGTGCGGATTTAAAAAAAAAAAAAGAAGCTAGCCCTGGCTGGTTTGGCTCAGCGGTTAGAGCTTCGGCCTGCAGTCCAGAGAGGCCTGGGTTCGGTTTCCACTAAGGTCATATACCTCGGTTGCGGTTTGTCCCTGGCCCTGGTTGGGTTGTGCGGGTGGCAACCACTCGATGTGTCCCTTTCACGTCAATGTTTCTCTCTCTCTCTCTCCCTCCCACTCTATCTGAACAAAATATGGAAGAGTGTCCTCGGGTGAGGATAAAAAAATTTTTTTAAATTTAAAACAAGAAGTTATTAGGATTTAGCCTTTTGAAGCTTATTGTTCTGTGGACCCACTAGGAAAAATACAAAGCGACATCTTTTTGGACAGGGTAGAGCAAAATGTGGAAAGGAACAAGAAAAACTTATTCATAATTTGGCTTTTTAAATATGTTTTTATTGATTTTAAAGAGAGAAGAAGGGAGAGAGAAAGAGAGAGAGAAACATTGATGTGAGAGAACAGCGATCGTTTGCCTCCTGTATGCACCCCAACCAGGGATCAAACTTGCAACTTGGGCATGTGCCCTGACCGGGAATCTAACCGGCAACTTTTCAGTGCACAGGACAATGCTCAACCAACTGAGCCACACTGTCCAGGACAGTTGTTCAAAACTCTTTATAGGATTTGCTTCCCACCCATTTCAGTTCAGTAGTGTTTGCTTAATTTGCAAGGAGTAAAGATCTTATAGCATTCCCTGCTTTTTCCTACCTTCATGAGGGTATCAAGATTTTACCATGCTGTTCTTTAGCTTCTCTAAGTAGAGAAAACTAGAAAAATCTGCTATATTATAGAAAGACAATCCATAGGCAAAAGGGTCTGTATTGTGAGCATTTCACTTCATGTGTCCTCTAGGTCTCCCACTGGCTCCCTTCCTCTCGTCATGCATCTTGCTAATGGACAGACCATGCCTGTGCTGCCAGGGCCTCCGGTACAGATGCCTTCTGTTATATCGGTAAGCTCTGTAGTTGGGACAGCCAGCCCTACCAACACACAGTCCCTCCCTTCCACCTGAATGCTCATAAACACACACGAGCCCCAGGGAAACGTGGGCTCTGGTCTGTATTAGTTGAGCATGGCAGCCTGCCTAAACACTTCACTAAGCTCTGCCAATCCAGTACTATGGAACACTAAACAAAGACTCATCTGGACAATTGGCTCCTGGTCTAGGAATTGATCTTGCCAGCCTGCTGATTGGTTGATTTCACTTGGCACTTAGCACCTCCCAAATTACCCACCACTTTCCTCAATATACAGCCCCAGCCCTTCCCATAGAAATTGTCATAGCACTGAAGGATTAGATTCAGTGCTATTGGAGGAGGTATTTCCCAGGATCCCTGTATGCCCTATGGGCAGGTTGCACAAAACAGGCCCTAATGTGCCAATCTCAGAATCACTGCATTTTGGAAAGCTGTGGCTCCACTGATACTATTATGTTCCCTTCTGGTTTTGCTTCCTCTTGATCCAGCTGGCCAGGCCTATGTCTGTGGTGCCCAACATTCCTGGTATCCCTGGCCCACCAGTTAACAGCAGTGGCTCCATTTCTCCCTCTGGCCACCCTATGCCATCAGAAGCCAAGATGGTGAGTACATTATTCCAGCCTTGGGCAACATTGGCCCTTCCTGAAAGAAGTGGTATCAGCCTACGTTTTTCAAGTGAGCCAAATAAGGGAACCTTCTGGGACTTGGCAAAGCTAAAGACACCCTGTTGTGAGGTCTATAGGAAAAGAGAACCTGATTTAGGACTCCCATCTCCTCTCTTCTACCTTTAAAACCTGGTACTTTAGACCATGGCAGTGAAGAGGTACCACAGATTGTTTGGAGTGGAACACTTGCTGTTTCAGTTCCAGGGTGACAGATGGAGGGTGGATGAGTGGGCAGGAGAGCTGGCCAAGAGGTGAATAGCTGCGTAACCAGCTCCTGGCCAGGTTCCAGGAGAGAGCTTTCATCTGGACTCTATTGCTTCAACAACCCCCACCCTCCAACTGTGCCCAGGATGATAGCCAGGGAATAGAGTAGGCATTTTGGGGATCCAGGTGCATGCTCTCTCTCCCTGTCATTTTCTTTTAATTCCTCTGTTAAGGGAAAGTAGGTGTGGAAATTCTGGCTATCTGTAAGGTCAGTAATAAAATCCAAGCCCATTCTTCCCACCCTTGACAACCTTTTTTTATTCCCCTTATCTTTTTCCACAGAGACTAAAAGCTACCCTAACCCACCAAGTCTCCTCAATCAATGGTGGTTGTGGAATGGTGGTGGGTACTGCCAGCACCATGGTGACAGCCCGTCCTGAGCAGAGTCAGATCCTCATCCAACACCCTGATGCCCCATCCCCTGCCCAGCCACAGGTCAGTGGGCCCTTGGATGGGGTACCAGCTATATCGCCATTGCTCTTTATGTCCTGTGTTTATCTAGGAGCAGAAAAATTAGAAAAGAATGGATTTCAGCTTTCTGAACATCTTCCTGTACTTTGGTTCTTGCTGACAATTTAACAGTAGCAAAATGTACCATTCTTTATCCACCTTTGTGTTATACTTACATGTAAACAGACTAGATAATGCAGAACTGTCACAGATGTCTTAATTTTTGGTTTTTGGTTTTTTTCTATATGTAAATGATGTATGTGCACCAGACAAAGGAGGTTTTCCTAGTCTCTTTCCCATCTATTAAGTCTTTTTTTTTTCCTTTATTGATTTTAGAGCGAGAGGAAGGGAGAGGGAGAGAGAGATAGAAACATTGATGAGTGAGAACATCAGTTGGCCGCCTCCTGCATGCCCCCCGCTAGGGATCGGGCCCACAACCTGGGCATGTGCCCTGACCTGGAATTGAACCAGTGACCTCTTGGTGCGTGGGTTGGCGCTCAGCCACTAAGCCACACCAGCCAGGCAGTTTCAGGAGGCGGCCAATTGATGTTCTCACTCATCAGTGTTTCTCTCTCTCTTTCCCTCTCCCTTCCTCTCATTCTAAAATAAAATAAAAAAAAAGTTAATTTACTTGATTAGATTTTACAACAAAAATCAGACAATAATATATTAATAATATGTGATGTCACAATATTACAATGCTTCAGTAAACAAACACAAAAATACACCTTTTTCTTATCACTTTAATCCCTTAAAAGAGCAGTCCCATTTAGATGCCCAATTCTTTTCTCAAGGTGGCCTCAGTTTTAATAAATTTCTTTGAAAACTAAATAGGCTTCAGTTTTGTATTATTTATACTGGACAGGTGACAACAACCTGAGATTGGTTTCTAGAGTTTCATTCTTTGCCCAGCCCCTTTTCCTGATGTCACCACCTGCTTCATCATTTACCACATGTCCTAGCATTTAATGGCCATATGCTGCCTTAAAGCTTGGCCAACAACAAAAACCTTCTTTGAAGTTTTCTTGTTGGAAGCTAAGCCTTCCCACCCTCATGTATCCCCTTCCAGTGCCAATCCCTGGAGATGGTAGAGCAGTAGCCCCTTGCCTAAGTTGTGCTGCTTTGCCTCTTGAGAATATGACATTGATTTCTTTCCTTCTCATTCTTTCCTTTCTCTCAGCCTGTTCTTTCATTCCCTGCATGATTACTGAATTGCCTATGAGAGAACAGGAACTTTATCATTTCCTTTTCCCCGTCCTTGGTAAAGCACTAATCTTTACATGTAGTCCAATGAACTTGGACAAAGAGGAAATTTTTAATCTCAAGAGAATTAGTGTAAACTTTCCTTGGTATAGTGAAAAGCAATGACCTAAGGCCTGTATGTAGCTCATTAAATTGAATTTGAAATTTTCTCCCCATTTTTTTTCTTTGGGAAGAGATATTAGTCTGAATAAATAAAATTATCTCTTTTTTTTTATCATCCTCACCCGAGGACATTCTTCCATTCTTTGTTCAGATAGAGTGGGAGGGAGAGAGGGGAACAGAGAGAGAGAGAAACATTGATGTGAAAGGGACACATCGAGTGGTCGCCACCCGCACAACCAACCAGGGCCGGGGACAAACTGCAACCGAGGTACATGCCCTTAGCGGGAACCGAACCCGGGTCTCTCCGGACCGCAGGCCGATGCTCTAACCGCTGAGCCAAACCGGCCAGGGCTAAAATTATCTCTTGATTATCTTAGTGAAGAACATGATTTAGTAGGGCCTGAAGTGGAGTATAAGATTCTGTTTTTTTATAAGCTCATGCTTATTCTCATGCAACTAATGTGATCTCTGACATTTGGGAACTACTAATACAGATATTTTCTAATAGCAACAGATCTAGAACAAACTTATTATACCTTTCTACATTTTTACTTTTTTAAAAAATCTGTATTGTTAAAAGTATTACAAATATCCTCCCTTCCCCCTGCCATTGACCCCCTCCTCCCCACTCCCACCCCACTCCTGCTTTCCTCAAACTATTGTCTGTGTCCATTGGTTGTGCATATATGTATATAAGTTCTTTGGTTTATCTCTTCCCAACCCTCTTCCCTGTGAGGTTTGTCTACATTTTAATTTTTGCCACTATTATAAAATTGGTCTATATCTCAGAACACATACCAGATAACAGAAAGGGAAGATGATCCCAAAGTGCTTTAATGTCAATGGTACCAGCCTGAAGGTTAAAGATAAGAGACAATCCTATATCACCAGTTTGTAAAGGGATTAAAAATGCTTTTTTGTTAAAAAAGAACAGAACAAGCAGGATGGGGGGAAGGTTGATGAGGATGACTAATAACTGATTATAAATAAAAAGAATTTACTAGTCCATAGCTCCATAAGAGCCTAATTCTCACCAGTAGCAAAATCTTTTCTTCTTTTCTGAAACTCATAGCATTCAGTTCTTTGTATATGTTGCTTGTCCAAATCAGTGGTTTGTAAATGTTTTTATTCCAGTCTTGCTAAAAGTTTCTGATACCCTCCTTTATGCTGTCCCTGCTTACAAGATTTCCTATTCTTAAGAAACAAAAAGTGATCCTAGTTTCATTTTGTCTGTCTCAGAAATAATCAGTTTCCAACTGAACTGTGGTTGTCTAAGTATGGGGCTGAGAAGACTGGAGGGAAATGAGAGGCAGAATGAGGAAAAACTACTAAAGGAAGCTGAGGGACATAGCGATGAGACTTGCTGTGGTTACAGAGACTGGTACATCCCTTTACCAGATCCTACTAATATACTTAATGTCAAGTGTAATTCGGAAAGTATTGACGTTCCTTTCAAGTAACTTCTCTTCCTTCCTGAGCAACAGGTCTCACCAGCCCAGCCTACTCCTAGTACAGGAGGGCGCCGGCGGCGCACAGTGGATGAAGATCCAGATGAGCGGAGGCAGCGCTTTCTGGAGCGCAACCGGGCTGCTGCCTCTCGCTGTCGTCAAAAGCGGAAGCTATGGGTGTCCTCCCTAGAGAAGAAGGCAGAAGAACTCACTTCTCAGAACATTCAGCTGAGTGTGAGTTGGTCCTGGATGATTGTTGGGATTGTTGAGTCTTGAAAGGGGGGGTTGAATGAGAAAAAAGTGGGACGATATAATAGAAGATGGTAATTCTTTAAATTAGGACAGATCCAGAAAATGTTCCAGGAAGAATGTAGAAAGAATCTCTTACAGTCAGAGTTGAAATCTTGTCTCCAGGGATTGAGAAAGACATCATCTACTCCCAAATCTGCTACTAGAATGAGTCATTCATAGACCCATTTAAATGAAGGGAACTGTAGTAATAATTATTATTATTATCATTATTAGTATTGTTGTTGTTGTTAATCCTCACCTAAGGATGTTTTTCCATTGATTTTTAGAGAAAGTGGAAGGGAGGGAGGGAGAGAGTGAGAGAAACATTAGTGTGAGAGAGACACATCAATCAGTTGCCTCCTGCACAAACCTGACCAGAGCAGGGGATCAAACCTGCAACCCAGGTATGTACTGTTGACCGGGAATCAAACCTAGGACCCTGTGATTGCAGGGCCGATGCTCTAACCACTGAGCAAAACCAGCCAGGGCTAGATGAAGTAAATTAGATTAAGCACCCCAGGATGCTCTTTTAAATCATCAGTAAACTCTGACTAGGGTCATGGAACACTCAAAAGGAAATGTATTTGCCCCAGATACTACAGCTTAGTAAAAGAAAGAAAAGGCCACACAAGCACAAATAGAACAATTATAACCCAGCCCTTGCCAGTTTGGCTCAGTGGTTAGAGTGTCAGCCTGTGGACCAAAGGGTCTTGGGTTCAATTCCTGGTCAAGGGATACAACTGGTTGCAGGTTAGGTCCCTGGTCCCGGTTGTGGTCATGTGGGAGGCAACCAGTCAATATGTCTCTCTCACATCAATGTTTCTCCTTCCCTCCCTCCCTTCCACTCTAAAAATCAATGGAAAAATATCCTCAGGTAAGGATTAACAAAAAAAAAAGATAATCCATATATTTTCTTGAATATTACTTTCCCTTATTCTGATTAGTTGTTAAAATATCTCATTACAGCCCAGCCAGTGTGGCTTATTGTTTGAGCGTCGACCCATGCACCAAGAGGTCACCAGTTCGATTCCCAGTCAGGGCACATGCCCAGGTTATGGGCCCAATCCCCAGTGGGGGGCATGTAGGAGGCAACCAGTCAATGTTCTCTCTCATCAATATTTCTATCTCTCTCTCTAAAATCAATGAAGAAAAAATATTTTAAAATATATATTTCATTACAAGGTAATGAAATATATGTGTATATATAATGAAATATATGTGTATATATAAATATGTGTATATATATACATATATATATACACACACATACACACAAAGAGGTGTAGAATAAAAACAAGATCCCTCTTCAGTATGTTTTTCCAGACTCATTCTCTTTCCTTTAGTTAAGTTTGATATGTACCTACCAGACATATATGTATTTCTTTCTTTCTTTTTTTAATTACATTAGTATACTTTTTTTCTTCCAATCCTCACCCTAGGACATTTTTTTTTTCTATTTATCTTCAGATAGAATGGGAGGGAGGGAGAAAGAGAGAGAAACATCAACATGAAAGGGACACAGTGACTGGTTGCCTCCCACATGACCCTGACCAGGGCCCAGGACAAACCACAACCGAGGTACATGCCCTTGACCGGAATCGAACCCACTACTTATTGATCCACTAAGTCAAACCAGCCAGGGCAAGTACACTGTTTTGTTTTGTTTTTTTTAAATTTTTTTTTTTTATCCTCACCCGAGGACATTTTTTCCTTTTTTTGTTCAGATAGAGTGGAAGGGAGAGAGAAACATCGACGTGAAAGGGACACATCAAGTGGTTGCCACCCGCACGACCCAACCAGGGCCGGGGACAAAGTGCAACCGAGGTATGTGCTCTTAGCGGGAACCGAACCCGGGTCCCTCTGGACCGCAGGCCGACGCTCTAACCGCTGAGCCAAACCGGCCAGGGCATACACTTTTTTTGTTAAGAGAGAGAGAAACATTGATTTGTTGTTCCATTTATTTATTCATTTATTGGTTGATTCCTGTATGTACTCTGATCAGGGATCAAAGCCACAATCTTGGTGTATGGGGACTACACTCTAACCAACTGAGCTACCCAGCCAGGGCCCAGACATATATATATATTTCTCAATATTATTTTCATTTATTTATTTTATTTTATTTATTTATTTATTTTTGTACGTGCCTTTAGCAGGAACCGAACCCAGGACTCTCTGGTCCACAGGCCAGCACTCCAACTGCTGAGCCAAACCCGCGAGGGCTATTTTCATTTATATTTTTTGAAGGAGAGTCAGGGAGGGATTGTATGGGGATTTGTTTGTTTGTTTTAATATGTTTTTATTGATTTTTTTTAGAGAGAGGAAGGGAGAAAGAGATAGAAACATCAATGTGAGAGAGATACATCAATTGGCTGCCTCCTGCATGCTTCCTACTGGGGATCGAGCCCGCAACTGGGCATGTGCCCTGAATGGGAATCAAACCGGGACCTCTCAGTCCATGAGACAGTGCTCAATCCACTGAGCCACACCAGCCGGGCATGTTTGTTTTAATATAAATAGGTTAACAGTATTCCTGGAGATCTAACCATGTATATAGAAGATCTTGGTTTTTTTAAATAGCTGTATAGTAGTACATTCTATAGTGTGTTTATATTATAAGGTAGGATATTTATAACATTTCTAATTTTTTGCTGGAACAGCAATGCTGCAGTGAACATTGTATGCACTTGAGTAGGTAGTTCTGTTAAATAAACGTATGGAAGTAGGCTTTCTTAGTCAAAGGACATATGCATTATTAATTTTGGTATCATGTTTATCCTATATAGGAGTAATTTTTCTATTGTAAATTCCTACTTTACATTGTAAGTAGCTCCTGTCATTGAACTCATGGCTATACTGGCCCTGGGCTGTCTGAAGCCTTGCTGGATTAGAAGTCTCCAGATTTGGAGGAGGAAATACAGGCAACATTCTGTCATCACTTTGAGATATACTCACTGGGGGTTAAAGAGTGGAGGATGAATTTTCTTGATACTTTTTTCTTCCCTCCCTCCTCAGAATGAAGTAACATTACTACGCAATGAGGTGGCTCAGTTGAAACAGCTACTGTTAGCTCATAAAGACTGCCCAGTCACTGCACTACAGAAAAAGACCCAAGGCTATTTAGGTGAGTGGTTCACAACCTAAGCAAGGTCAGTCAGTCAGCAAACTGAACGTATTGAGTGTCTCAACTGTTTATAATTTTATAACTCTATTCTGAATGTCCTGGGGGGGTCCAGACTGATGAGTGCAGGGTGCACGGGCAGAAGCAGGCAGTCCGCTTGGGAGGCTATTGCAATTATGCACAAGAGATGTTAGAGCCGTGGACCAGGATGGTGGTAATGAAAGTAGTGAGAAGTTGAATTCAGGATTTTTTTTTCTTAAAATATTTTAATTGATTTTTAAAGAGGAAGAGAGAGAGAAACATTAATCAGCTACCTCCTGCACATCCCTGACCAGGGATTGGGCCCTGACCAGAAACAAACCGGCAACTTTTCAGTACATTGAACTGATGCCCAACCAACTGAGCCATACTGGGCAAATTCAAGATATTTTGAAGTTAGAGTGACAGGGTTTGACGATGGGCCAAATGGGGCACTATATATGAGAACAAGAAGAATCAAAAATTACACCAAAGTTTTTGGCCCGAGCAACTGCAAGAATGGATTTGACATTAATTGAAATAGGAGAAAGTGTAGAGGAAATGAATTGGGAGGTATATTTGGAGTTTAGTTTTGGACAAGCTGTGTTTAAGAAGCCTATTAATCTTGAAGGTGGAGTCAAGCAGGCAGCTGGTTATGTGGGCCTGCAGTTCAGAGGAAAGGCTGAAAGATATGACAGTGGGAGTCAGCAGCATATAGTTAGGTTTTTGTTTTGTTTTGTTGTTAAAATTTTTTTTCTTTATTTTAGAGAGAGAGGAAGGGAGAGGGAGAGAGAGATAGAAACATTGATGAGAGAAACATTGATTGGCCACCTCCTGCATGCCCCCCACTGGGGATTTGGCCCACAGCCAGCATGTGCCCTGACCAGGAATTGAACTGGTGACCTCTTGGTAGATAGGTCAGTGCTCAACCACTGAGCCACACCAGACGGGCTGTTTTGTTGTTGTTAATCCTCACCTGAGGATGTTTTTACCATTGATTTTATTATTTATTTATTTTTATAGAGAGAGAGTGGAAGGAAGGGAGAGAGATGGGAAGAGAAAGGCAGAGAGAAAGAGAGAGAAACATCGATATGAGAGAGACACATCGATTGGTTGCCTCCCACATGGCCCCGACCAGAGCCCAGGATCAAACCTGCAACTGAGGTACGTGCCCTTGACTGGGAATTAAACCCATGACTCTGGTCTGAGAGCCAATGCTTTAAACACTGATCCAAACTGGCCAGGGCCTGTTTTATTCTTTATGTACCCCATTGCTTGGCTGGGTACATGGATGATGCTTAGTAAATATTTGATGAATGAATGAATGTGTGCTCTGAACACACAAGCAGTGAAGTAGTTAATTTCTTGAGTACAACAAAGAAGGCTTCACAGAATCCTAAAAGACTCGGGCCTCCTTCAGATCAAAAATACAACTAACTGTTGGAAGTTTGCTCTCATTCCACATCTCTGTGTTTAAGCAGCTAACAGAGGCTGTCTGCTGTTTAAGAAAACTCTTTGACTGATGAGCAGCATGGAGTTATCTTTATGCAGCTCATATTTGTCTTTAGTAAAATGTTATTGTCGCCCTGGCCGGTTTGGCTCAGCGGTTAGAGCGTCGGCCTGCGGTCCTGAGAGACCCGGGTTCGGTTCCCGCTAAGAGCACGTACCTCGGTTGCAGTTTGTCCCCGGCCCTGGTCGGTTGTGCGGGTGGCAGCCACTCGATGTGTCCCTTTCACATCGATGTTTCTCTCTCTCTCTGTTCCTCTCTCTCCCCCCGACTCTACCTGAACAAAAAATGGAAAAATGTCCTCGGGTGAGGATGAAAAAAAAAAAAAAAATGTTATTGTCACTTTAGGTGAAGTGGCATAAGTCATAGTAAGTTGTTGTTTTTTTTATCCTCACCCGAGGACATTTTTGCATGTATCTTCAGATAGAGCAGGAGGGGGAGAGAGAAAGAAACATCGATGTGAGAGAGACACATCAAGTGGTTGCCACCCACATGACCCCAACCAGGGCTGGGACAAACTGCAACCGAGGTACGTGCCCCCAGTGGGAACCGAACCTGGGACTCCAGTCTGCGGGCCGACGCTCTAACCACTGAAATAGACCATAATAAATATTTTTAATCAGCGATACCTAGCTAATTAATATTGGGAGGATAAACTGTTTGGGGTTTGCTGTGTTAAGTGAACCTTGGCCAAGGACTGATCATTGACATTATTTATTGTAGCTTGATTTTATTTTATTTTTTTTTATTTATTTTTTATTTTTTTATCCTCACCCGAGGACATTTTTCCATTTTTTGTACAGATAGAGTGGGAGGGAGAGAGAGGAAGGGCGAGAGAGAGAGAAACATCGACGTGAAGGAACACATCGAGTGGCTGCCACCCGCACAACTGACCAGGGCCGGGGACAAACTGCAACCGAAGTACGTGCCCTTAGCGGGAACCGAACCCGGGTCTCTCAGGACCGCAGGCCGACGCTCTAACCGCTGAGCCAAATTGGCCAGGGCTATTGTAGCTTGATTTTATCAGGCTTACCTGTGGTGCAACTACACGCTAAAGGAATATAAAAAATAATGGAACGATTCATTTCCTGTGGGGATTAGAGAATATACCTAAAAATAAATCTACTTTAAATCACCTTTAAAAACATGACTAAAAAGGAGAAACATCTGTAACAAAAATAAATTAATTAAATATTTTTAAAAAACATGACTAAGCGAAGGAAAGTTCCAATAAGGGTAATGAACTACATGCAAATACCTGGAAGCCAGACAGTATAATTAACATGTCGGAGATTCACTTTATTGGGATAGGTAGGTTAATTTGTTCTGGTTCCTGCTTCCCTTCTCACAGTTTACTGTTTCCTAGCTCATACACAGCTTAAAAGCCAAGTTTCTGGGAAGTGCCCCCCCCCCCAAATAGGCCTCCTTTTCCTTTGTTCTGCTTTAGAATTGTGGCAAAAGGTAGTTCCTCCTGTTTTCCCATTCTGTTTTCTAACCACTTGCTCTCTGCTATTTGCCCTCCTTCCTTGGCAGAAAGCCCCAAGGAAAGCTCGGAGCCGACGGGTTCTCCAGCCCCTGTGATTCAGCACAGCTCAGCAACAGCACCTAGCAATGGCCTCAGTGTTCGCTCTGCAGCTGAAGCTGTGGCCACCTCAGTCCTCACTCAGATGGCCAGCCAAAGGACAGAACTGAGCATGCCAATACAGTCGCATGTGATTATGAATCCACAGTCCCAGTCTGCGGGCAGATGATGCCTCCCCTGGTGGAGAGGTCCCCAGCCAGAGCTCGCCCTTTTGAGAGCCAAGAGAGATGTCATCTTATCCCCTCCCATCTGCCTTGGACATGGCAGTATGGGGGGGAAAACTGTGTGTTGTGAGTAAAGGACAGATGTGGGGCTTTTCTCTTCAGCCACATGATCGTGTATGTTGACACCCGTACTGGGAGCCTCCGAGCCCCAGAGCCACATAGATCATACCATAAGGGGAGTTTCTGAAGTCCCCACAGCCAAAGGCCTTTCCAGGTGGTCTGAACAATCAACCATCCTTGCCCACGCACCTGTACTTCTCTCTTTTAACACTAACCCTTGCACTTCTAGGTTTCGGGTTTCCCAGTTTCCTCTCTTCCCACTAAGCCATGACTGTTACCTTCTTGTTCCTTAGCAGCATGCTAAGTAGAGGGAGCTAGAATTGATGGCATATCACCTGCTGACCCAGCCCCAGCCCCCTCATGATCTCAGGACTTTGTGTCCCAGTAGCTGCTTATTTATCCTTTTTTTACCCATCCAAAATTCTAGTCAAAATATTCACTTAGGGAGAATGTAAAGTTATGTTTGATGTGTGAAATAGCATTATTTTCCAGCTCTTTCATAAACTTTAGTCCTTCTCCCTACCTTCTACCAAAACAAACAAAAACAAAAAAAAGCAAAAAGAAACAAAATCCCAACAGTTGTAGTCCTTTTTAATCTATTTCCAGAGCTATTTGGGTACCACATTTTGTCTCTTGAGTTTTCCCAGTCTAGTAGTGGGGTCTCTTCCACCTCCCACTAAGCCTTGGCAACCTCATCTTGTGGCCTTATTAGATATGGCTTGGTAGTGAAAAGGGGAAGAGTCCAGGATCTGATTGGCTGATTCCTCTTCTCCTCACTCCATCCTTCTTCAGTCTAATCACCAGGTCAGGCAGGAAAGCTGGTTCCATCAGGTTATGGATTGATTCTTTATGTTTTATAAGAGTTTACTGACCAAAGCATACGGATTCCTTTTGGTCAGCTTTCCGCTTCTGCCTCTTCCTCCTCGTCCCCCTGTGCACATTACTGCCTCACTCTTCCATAGCTAGTTCAGATGCAGCTCCGGGGAGGCGGTTATGTAGTTCTCACACTTTCCCCCATCTCTTAGCCTCACACATCTGTCTTCTTTTCTTAGCTAGGGTCTTATATTCACAAGTGTCCCATGCCCTCTGGATCTACCTTCTTTCTCTTTCAGCATACTCCTAGCATAACCACTAGGTCGGGCTTCAGCTCTTTTCTGCTCTCTGCCCCCTAGATACAGTGCTTCTCCATAGTCTAAGCCCCAGGACTCTGAGACATCATAGCCAGGGTCCTGAGAGGGTTTTCTTGATTATAAGGTTGGATGCAGGGAGGCCAGGGAGGGCAGGTGCAGTACTAATCTCAGCAGAAAAACCCTGCTTGTTGAAGGGTCTAGCCTGCCTGGGAAATTGGTGACTATTTCTCTCAGCCATTTTTACTTTGAAGAGTTGGTTTACAGAGGGAGAAATTTATCCTCTGATCTCGCTTTCTTCCCCATGAAGACTTCTCATCTTCCTTTGACTCTGAACTATGCAGTTTCTACCAGGACCATAGGAAGCAGTCCAAAGCCAGGGGCCTGTAGATATGTCAGCTTTAATTGTTCTTCAGTATGAAACCCTTCCAATTGTCCCAGAGCCACCTTCTGCCATCTGCTGAAGCCAAGAATGTCCTTTTTGCCATCTCTCCTACCTCCATCTTAAACATACTACAGAATAACTCCCAGCTTCCTTTATTATTTTGTCTTCCAAAATTGGTTGTCTTAGGGGAATGAGGAAATGTTCTAAGATACAAGATTGCCATCTCCTCAGAGTGATAAACTGGTGAGCCAGTCAGATGACATGTTCTACTGCATTTGTTTTTCATTTCCCCTCCTGCTTTTCAGAGCCTGTGCTGAACAAGCCACACCTGGTGAAGAGAAAGGAGAGAAAACATGGTTTTCTCATCCTCTACCACCCGGGACCCAACAGGAACACCCCCTGAGGTGACTCAGATTAGCAAATGGCATGGCAGATGGTCAGGATGCAGGTTACCACCTCCAGGGACTCCACTTGCCTTTAAAAATTCACAGCCACAACTTATGCTCAGGACTTTTCTTTCAGGCGGCTGCTCCCTGGGCTTTTGTCCTGCTTTAATTTTTGTTTTATTTTTTTTTTATTCTCTTGATTTCCCACCAGCAGCCTTGCCCTTAAGCTTGACTAAGTTTATGGCTCCTAAGGAGCCTTCATAGACCCTTCACTATTTTTTCTTCTGCCTTCAGTCAAGTGTTTTTCAAGTGAAGAAGCAGTTTGTTACTGCACATACATCCTGCCTCACTACTGGGCTTGGAGAAGGCTCCAGTCCTGCCTATCTGTCCCTGAGTAGGGTGGCTAATTTACATAGAGGGTCTCATTTAGTTTCTTAACCCCCATGTCTAATTCTCATTTTCATCCATAGGAAGTTAGTATGATGGACATAAATGAGGGCATTGACAGACCTCAGTAGTAAACCAGCAGTGACATGAGGAAGGGGCAGAACAAGCCTCCAGACAGCTCTTTAGTTGGTCCTCAGTCTCACTAAGAAGACTGAACAGTTGCTTATAATCAAGGGGAACGTCACTAACCTTGTCATTGTTGCCAGCTGTGTAGCCGCTCTCCCTTGCTCTTTGCCTTCCAGATTCACCTGGACCAGAATCAAACATCATGGAGGGTGTTGTTTAGCCCTTCCTACGGGCCATGGCCTTTCTAGGGACCTAAGGGAAGACACATTCTGAGAAGAGCTGAGAGTGTGGACCCTTGGGGCTCTTCCAGGTGAACCCAGGACACAGGCCTCTTACTTCACTCCAAGGACTCAGCTGTTAGACACTCAAGGCCATAGAGAAAGGGGCCAGAACCAGGTTTTCTGGTATGCAGACTTCTGCCCCATTCCCTTGAAAGTGTGCTTAGAGTTGAAAAGTGTAAGAAAGCTTCCCCCACAACTAGGGGAGATAGAAGGAGTAGGACCTTTTTATATTTACTCTTTCCCTGTTGGTTGCATAGCCCAAATCTGGCTTCCTTCTGCCTCTACTCCTCTTCTTGAACCTGAGCACTGACCATATGCTCTCGGTGGTGGTAAAAGAGGTGACCTAACTGAACCTCACCTTGCTGCTTTCCTATGCCCGTTGTGTTCTTAGCTCCTTTTCTGCTTCACTGCCCTCCAGCTCCATGCATTCTGGTAGGTGGGATGCTTTGTCATAACCATGCCCTGTCTACAGCCTGAACCACCAAGCAGACATCAAGATACTTCTCTGTTTTCTGAGGCTCCCGTGTTCCACAATGAGAGGCTCCTCTAAAGGTGCTAGCCCTGAGACAGCTCTCCCCCCAAAAGTTCTCCCTTTCTTTCATAACTTCCTTTTCATCCCCAAATCATTATTTTTTCCATTAATACTATACATTGTATACACAGGAAGGAAATGTATGTTTTTTATTTCATAACCAGTCTGTTTAGAATCCAGTCCTCCTAGCTATATCACATATACCTTTGTTGTGCTCTTTATGTTTTCTTTAGACTTTTGTTTGACAGGGGTGGAGGGAGGAACATGACAAGTGAGGATCGTCAACCTCCCACAACCCTAATCATCCTTCAGAATGCAGAACTGATTCTCTGTTTCTGTTTACAACACACATGTGCGTACAGACATAAATTCCCACCTCCCCTCCCCACCGCCCAGGGTGCTGACCCAGCAGGAATGAGCATAGGTGGCTGCTGGCCACCATTCCCTCCTTCTGTACTAGTTCATTTTCTCTCTTTGGGAAAAGAATGAGAAAAGGCTGGGGAAGCAGGGAAAGTTAAGGCAGCTTATATCCTTTGTAGATGCAGGTTTGTATTGTAGCTGCTAGGGTTTGTTTTTTAATGGGGGCTGGTAGCACAGATATAACTTAACCAGCATCAGTTACTACTGGTGAGTGATATTTTAGCTGTAAGAAAAGGCTATGAGCACTAGTTTCATTGACTTTCCCTTAGGGCAATGGTTTTCAGAACATGGTCCAGGACCAGCAGCACCAGCAGCACCAGTGCCTGGGAACTTGTTAGAAATGCACATTTGGACCCCACCCCTACCTGTTAAATCAGAAACTCTGGGGATGGGCTCTAACAAGCACTCCAAGTGATTCTTATGTACACTAAAGTGTGACAACCACTGCCCTATGGGCAAGCTGGGAAATTCTTGTAGGGTGTCAAGACTATTTTAAGTAACATCCTCTGCCTTAGCACTAACATACATATTTTTCCATTTTCTCCCATCCTTCCCTCCACTCCCATTAAAACAACAACCACATCATTCATCTCAAAATCTAGGTTTGTCTTTGTCCTACTTATCCCTAAAACCTGTCCTGCATTGGTCTCGACAGGTATTGTCCCATATTCCCTTGCAGATTGGTCACTCCTCACTCTTTGTTACAGGACCAGCTGGAGTTTAGCTGTTCTGTATACACCACACACACCACACACCTTACACACCTACCTTCAGGCAGAGAGATGAGCCTCCAGGCCCAGCAGGGGAGGCTTCAGCCTCCTGACATAGTACCTGTTGAAAAGAAAGCAGTGTGTTTCGATGGTTATATCTCTGCTCATCTGTATATCTTTGACATGTAGCAAAACCTCTCCATCTCATCAAGGAACTCCTTTGTGGGGCTAAGTCTCCCCAGTCCCCAGTGGTGGACTTTGACAGGTGGGAGCATGGCGTGCTACAGGCTATTTTGTTACAAAACCATCATCTCCCTTTCCCTTCCACCCAATTCTGGCATGATCCCTGTGAGCAGGCTCTCACAATCTCCCGGGACGGGGCTGAGGCAGAGGCTTTGCTCTATTCTCCCTCACCGTCCCTTCTTCATTCCCCCTTGCCACTTAGCATTTATCCCCCCAGCCATGCCTTCTCCCTCTCTTCCTTGCCCTGACATATATTGTGCCTTATTTATGCTGCAAATATAACATTAAACTATCGAGAGAACCACTGTTATGTCTGATGCTTCAATATTCTGATCTACAAGTCCCACTATCCACTCTTTCTGGGAACTCATTGGGCTTCCATGTCTGTGATCTTCCTCACTCTCCCATTTCTTAGGACAGAAGGAGCTGGGATTCTTATCCTTCCTTTTTACGCAGGGTAGATACAATCTAGAGAAGGTAGGTGGTTTTACATAAATGACATAACACAACAAAAGGCACAGGACCAGGGCTCAGATCTGTGCACTACCCTGGGGACAAGGGCCCTCAGCATCATGGGAGTGCTCACTTAGAGGACATGTGTGCTTTATGTGAATGGGGGATGGGATGGTGTTTGAAGGCAAGTGTCCTCTTACCTTTCAGTGTTTTGTCTCCAACCCCTCCCAACGATTTTTTTAAAACAACAAAAATAAGCTCTACCTTCAAGAAGTGTCCAACATACCTGGGGAATGCACAGAGACCGAAAGGGAAGCTTTCTATGATTCTATAAGTTCTATGGGTATGGGGTGGGGGTGCGACAGTTAGAAGCAGGTAAGAGAATTCTCAAGAAAAAGAGGTAATGCTTAGGAACCATATAGAGTAAGGATATGTAGGGCAGTTACTAATTAAATCTTTGTATTCTTTAATAATTATCACAGGTGAGGAGAGTGAGCCAGGCTGAAGAACTTGACCAAGAGATGGCAGGTGTCTCTGAGGGTTTCCCAATAGGAGAGAAATTATCTAATTAACTAATTATCTAAATTAACTGGCTGATGTCTGGTATAATTAACACGAATAGGGAGACTGAGTCTCCTTAGGAGTAGGAAAGGCAGTGGTGATTTTCACTGTGTTGTGGTCAGGAACACATGGGCAGCCAGAGAAGAGTGAGAAAGGAAGTTACTGAAAGCCAGATACTAAAGCCAAGATTAAGAGGTCTGAGAGGTGAGGATGAGACTCTGAAAAAAAAGACAGGGCAGTTTCCCATGTTGGCAGAATTAACCCATTCCAACTACTAGCCAAAGGAGAGACTAGCCGCCTCCATCCTGGACATAGGAAGCCTAGTCAGCTTGTTTCTTGATGCAGCATCAGCTCAGATAGTGTTGTACTTGGCGATCAGAGAAATAGTCGAGGGGAAGCAGCAGGGTGGTAAATACTGAGTGCCTGCTCTGTGCTTAATGAAATGTTAATGTTTTGTGTCACTGTTCACAGCAGTCTTGATAAGAGGATAGTTGCCTCATTTTATTGATAACGAAGTGAGGTTAAGGTTAGGACACTTGCCCCAAGGCACACAGTGAAGTGCCAAAGCTGGGATTAAAACAGTTCTGACCCCAGAGCCAGTCTGCAGTGCTCACCCCCCCTACTCCTCAGGACTTCTGTCAGATAAGAACACAAGGACCTCGCTGTGGGGCAGGATCCATTTCCCACAGAAGAGACATCTGCCTATGGTCCTAAAACTCCCTTTTAAGAAGTGAAACTACAAGATGCAATGATGAATGTCAGGTTCTATGCTTGAGACCAGCCATGAGATAAAGGCTCACCCTAGCTTAGGCTACATTAATAGGAATGCAGTATCTAGAGCATCCCAATCAAAACCTGCTCTACCTGCCCAAAGTACAAATTGTTTACAAATGCCTTACTTTAAAGGGGGAGCACTTCCCCTTTAACAACAACAACAACGAAAAAAAGACTATAGAATAGAACAATGAAATGTCTTCAAACCTGTGAAAGGCTTGCAGATGTGAAAGAATCAAGAGATATTGAGAGTTAATGAGGCAAAACTAAGAACACCTGGTGGAGGCCACAAGGAGGCAGAAACCAGCTCGGTGCAAGGATAAATCTGTGTGAAGACTCAGGAGATGGTAAGTTCCCAGGACATGGGTATGTAGGGCTCCTCACAGCTAACATTCTAAGGACACTTGCTCTGTGTTAGATCCTGTACTAAATAGATGACCAAAAGTATCTCAAATAATGCTCACCCTAGGAAGTAGTTCCTTTTCATGTTGTCGTGTTTTAGATGAAGATACTGCAGTTTAGAAAGGTAAACAGCTTTCCAAGGCCGTTTCACAGGCTCTTTACATCCTGGCACCTCTCCAGGACAGGCTACAGAACCACAAGGGGAGGGGGGAGGGGGATGCTGAGGAAGGCATCCTAGGATCAGAAGGGAAAGGGCACAAGATGACTTCGAAGAATCCCTGAGAGGCAGGGCAGGTATTTCCTAAAGCTGGATTCTAGCCTCCTGCCCAGGTGGGGGTGACTCAAGTGAGGCGAACAAAATGATAGTCCAACCTCAGGATTCTGCCCCTGCCTTTCTGGAACTCCTTAGAATCAGGGCCTTAGGAACCTCCATCCACCTGACCTTTCAAAGAGCTCCATTCCAGAAAAAGGAAATGGCTAGACCCGAAGTGTGGAGCTATGACCACAGGGTGGCAGCAGTGCCTCAGCTGCAGAGGAGGGCTCCCTAGGCCCAGGTGAGGCAGGTCCTAACCAGTTGCCCGCTCATGAAGATGGGGTCCATCTATAGATTTGAAGCAATTACCACTTTCTTTTATTTTCCACCTTCATCTCACTGTTCTATCCACAGGCAAATCTCAAAGTAGTGACTCCTTTTGTAACCCTTCAAGAGGCACTTACGCAGGGGTGTGAATGGGCTGGGTGACCCTGACTGCAGCAGTTAGCGGAGGGACCAGGCTGGGTCATCCCAGCCAACTCGGACCCTGGCTCTTCCCCCACTCCCTCTGTTCCACAACACAACACCTAGCCCTTTCTAACAGGATTATCTTTATGCTTTTATTCTACAAGTTAAAAAAGAGAGGTGATCGATTGGAGCTCTCCAACCTGTTGAGGGATTGGGGGTTCTTAAAGGCCCCCCAGGGCCTGGCTCTGACAAAGCATCTGCAATTAATGATGCTTCTTGAGCTCTGGAGACAGGATTTATGCATCTAATAAAGTCTGTAACTCCAGGCTTAGGAACTGGGGCCAGAGGCTGAGAGCAGGAAGTCCCAGAGGGGCCATGGGAGGGGATCCCAGGGGCTCTTAATGGAGCCGTGCATTTCCATTGCCTGCTCTAGATTCCCCCTCAGGCTGCTGTGGGGGTGGGGGGTAGGGGGACAGCAGGTATAAGAGGCAGATGTGGCCGTAAGCAGGCAGATGACAGCATGGATTCCAGGCAGGCAGCAATGTTGCTGGTGGTGCTGCTTTTAGTAACAGACTGGGGCTGCGCTGAAGGACCAGGGGGCCAGGGCGATCAGATCTTCGAGGTAAGTTAGCAGCCCCCTCCCCACGTCACCATTCCCTCTATTCCACTTGAGACTTGTGCTCTAGATTCAAACACTCTAGTGGCCAGGGTCTTCATTGGGTCCTCACATTTGAGGAAATGGCGTCTCAGCCTCCTACAACTTGCCAGGGGAGGCCACATCCTCCCCCTAGTGACCTGAATGTCAAAAGTCTTTGCTGCCCATATTCCCTCCTGGATGTCCCTGTACCACAGGAGGAAGACAGCAAACCCCACCCACCGCAGGATGCCAAGACCCCTGCATCACTCTTGCTCTCCCTGCTTCAGGCCATGCAGAGACCCAGCCGGAGCCCAACCTTCCTGTTTCAGCCCCAGAGGTGAGTCTGAGAGGGACACAGGCAAGGCTGGGACCAGAGGGAGAGGAGAGGGAAGGGGGCTGGAGAAGGGGAGGACTAGAAGGACCTACCACTGAGGATGGATCTCTCCTAAGGTTTGGCAGAAATACCCAGGGCTCCTGGAGCAACGAACGGCTGAGTACCCGAGCTGGGGAGGGGCTGAGCTCCCCATTCTGGAGTCTGGCTGCCCCTCAGCGCTTTGGAAAGAAGTGACATGTCACCCCTTGATACATTTGCATGCAAGGCCCATACCCGGAATTGCCATGTGTCCCCCAGAAATAAAGCTGCCTGGCTTCTGAATCAGATGTCTGTGTCTAAGACTTGCAAGGGCTGGGAGGGAGCTCAGGGCAAAAACCACAGCCCCTCCATCTCCTCCAATCTCTCCAGGAACACAGGTGATGGGTTTCGCAGAAGTCATTGCACCTAGCCTCCTGCCACTAGGAAGCAGGCATGGGGACGTGGGATAAACAAGGTGGGGAAGCACAAAGAGGAGGTGATTTGACACTAACCTCCTCTGCCATCAACTATTCAGGGAAACAGAAAAGGCAGGATTTAAGAATCCAAGGAGCAGCACATTTATTCCGGGCTCTAGAGGGTAGTGCCCGATTTCATTCCCCTTCGTCATCACCAGTAACATGAGGATGGATCCTGGGCCACTGAGGCACTGTGGTCCCTGGCTCCTGGGCCCATGCCCTCCTTGGCCTTCAGGGAGGCAGTCTGTGTCAGAGGTAGAGATGGTACCTCTAAGGGTACCAGAGCTGGGCAGATGCCTGGGCCAAGGGTAGGAAGAGCAGGGAACGGAGGTGTACATGAATGGATCCAGCTGGAGCTTTACTTGCTGCCCGCCATGATCTTGAGGTACTGCAAGGCACGGCGAGCAGCCTCGCCACGAGCTGCCTCCCTGGTGGCTGCGGAGCCATGACACACGGTGGTCGGTTGAGTGGACAGCTCCACCAGGCACTGGCAGAGCCCACTCAGGCTCAACTCCTCTGGAGACCAAGAGAGAGGAAGGAGGCAGTGTTGGGTGGGAAGGCAGCACCAGGAGGAACGATCCACATCACCATCATGCCCTCCCCAACTCCCTATACCATCTGTACTTGCTCTGGTCCAGTCCCCACCAACCCCTGGCCCCCCAACTAGCCATACCAATATCCAGGTAGCTGACATGGAAGGCCTGCTCCTCAGACAGCTCACTGAGGACACTGCAGCAGGCAGGGCCCAGAGCACCTAAGGAGCCCAGGGAGCAGCTGCGGAGGGACAGGATCTTCTCTCCCACTGAATTCCGCAGAGAATCCCAGGTGCAGCCTGGGCCCCGGTTCCGAAGTCCATCCAGGCGGGAGCCCACACCCTGATGAGATGAAAACAATGAGAAAGATGCAGCACTAGGCTGGAAGACTCAGGCATTTAATAGACATTTAATGTCCAAAGAGAGAATAGCCCAAAGAAGGGTACCGCCTCCCCTTGATCAATCTCCATATGGCCCCCCTCTCACTACTAGACCCTTGATTGGATGGCCAGGTAGCCTTCCTCATCCCAGGAACAAAAGCCCTGCCATGGGCCAGCTCCCCAACAGCACTCACCATGTGGGCCTACAGCTGAAGCCTAGAGGGGGACCCAAGAATCCTAGCTCCAATAGGAAAATGAACACAAGCAGGCCTAGGACCCAGAAAGGCTCACTCCCAAGTCACAGAACTGAGTCCCCAGTACCCTAGACTGGCATGGGGATGGCCCACAAGCCACTCACAATGGAGAAGTGATCATCGTCAGGCTCTGCCTCATTCCCATCCCGGGCATCCAGAGGCACCGTGTGCACTCGAAGCAGCATTTTAGCTGCCGCATTACGCTTTGCCAGCTTTTTGGAAGTGCCACTGCCTGTGTATGGGGAGAGTGTTACTGGATTATAACTCCTAGAAGACTCAGTGCTTTCCACTCAGCTCAAACCCAGGTTTGAGGGTCCCCTTAGATGTCAGTTAGACAGGGGAGCTCAGGACCTGCCATGCACCTGAGAAACTGATTGGCCAGAAGAGGGGGGAAGATAGGGTGCAAGGAAGAAGCTAAGGGAAGGAGCCAAGCTGGGGATCTCAGCCAGAAGAGTGGGGCTGTAGCACAGAGAAGCTAGGAGGTGCCTGTGGCCAGGACTAGAGTACTTGGGGACAGTAGCTGCAAAATCTCCCTTCTGCCCAGTTACCAATCTCGATGAAACGCTCCACTCGGCAGGTCATGGTGAACTCTTTGCGGTGGGCTGGTCCAGACTCCTGAGTCACTGTGTACTCAGGTAACCGCCAACCCTTTTGCACCACCAGCTCCTTGAAGGGCGAAATAAGGGGGCACATGCTGAGTGAGAAGAGTCCAAACATCCTCTCCCTACCATAGCAGCTTCAGATTCCAGGTTAGAGGAGGCATAAAGAGGATGGAAAAAGCCCTCAGAACAGAACACTCCCCGTCCCCTACCCCCATTAGCTTCCCTCATGGCCCCTGGTTCAAGGGAGGACAGGCATGCACAGGAAATGAGGATGGGAGCACACCTGCAGAGCACCAACAGGGTTGCACTCGGACTGCTGAGGAGAGACAGGGGGCTGCACCTCCATGGGGGAGCTCCTGAAGGAAAAAGGGCCCAGGGCCAAAGCTGAAAGGGCTAGTTTCTTCTGCTGCTGCCCATGAGTCCTAAGCCTTGTTTTAGTTTCCCCCACTCCAAACTTCTAGCCTGCTTCCTTCCCCCTCCCCTGCAAGTGAGGTCTCCTCCAGGTCCCAGGCCCATTTCACTTTTCTGGAACACATGATCATCACCTCGCCAGGGCAGTGGGAGAGGGACTATATATCCAGTCCCTGGAAGCACTGGATGGGACTCAAACACAGGACCATCATGGGGCCAATTCAGAAGCAAATGGGGCCTGCAATACCCTTAAACATGGTCAATATCATCCATATGGCTATTTAAAAGTCATTAATTACCGCCAGTCCCAAGAGCTTACCAACTGGTACAAATTCTTCAAACTCTGGTCCCCAACTATTCCAGCCTCTGTTTGTTCTCAGACTTCCTTGTGCCTGACCAGCCTGGGTCCAAAACTGGGGGCCAGGAGCCAGGACCCCTTCCTCCCCCCTCAGGCAGTCAGAAGACACAACATACCTGGTTGGGACAGCAGATGGAACAGGAGTAGCAGCCACTGCAGCAGTAAAAACCAGACCGTCCTCAGGCAGTGGAGAGTCTAGGGGTGAAAAAGAACTTCCCGAGGGGAAGGGGGCCTTTGATTCACACCCTTGTGGGGCAGGGACAGTGGAAGGGTGGGGGACCCAGGTCCTCCTGACCTGCCCATCCCCTAAAAAAATTCCTTCCCACTCGAGTCAAAGACTTGGGAAAACTCAACCACCAGCTCTTCCTCCTGGGATCCTTTGCTTCCAAAACACCAGATTAAAAAGACTGAGAAAAGGAGGAAGAGGGTCTCTTTCTAACCCAAGAACTATGGGAGCAACAAATTCCAACCTCAGTGCAGAAGAGGAAATGACATCTTGCTAGACAGAGAAGGCAATTCCCTCCAGCCTAAGCCTCCACCCCTCTCCCTCCTTAGCCTGAACCCCAAACCATAGCCACGATCCCTCAGTGGAGCTGGCCATTCCCCCCAGCAGCAGGAGCCCTGGAAGCATCCTGCTCAGGTCCAGAGGAAACTCAGGAAGAGGCCAGGTCAAGGTGACTAAGTGTCACCAGGTCAGGCCTACTGGGCAGAGGGGCTGATGCAGGGGCCTGGGTTCCTGGCAGGGCCTCTAGGATGCCTCAGCTGTTCCTCCCTCACCTGCTGTCCTCCAGGGCCGGCTCCAGCATGCTCCCCCCTTTGAGGTGTTTGAGGGCCACCTCAGCTGCCTTGTGCTTGGCTGCCTTCTTGCTGGGGCCCTGACCTGAGAGATGGGGCGTGGGCAATACTGGAGGTCACTGGAAGGACGAAAGAGAAACCAGCATCCCACAGCCTCTCTCCTCACTGCTACAGGGAGTCAACCAAGCCCCTCCACATGACCTCCCCCTGTCCAAGACTGGAAGTGTTATACTAATTGCTGGAAAGGCCCTTATCTTTCCACAAGCTCCCAAAATCAAGTCATGCCAGACAGAACTGCTCCTGAGCTCAGACACCTTGGGTAGAGATTTTTTCTCTGCCTTACTTTACTCTGGGAAGCACTTTCTTTCAGTAAATGGAGATGGCTGGAAAAATGGAAAGAAGGTAGATTCTAGAGTCAAAGCCTGGCTCTACCGCTTACTAAGCATGTGACCTTGCACCAGTCATTGAATCCCCCTGAGCTTCACTCAGTCTCCTCAAATTCAATGAGAGGATACTACCACCTACATTACTGGATTAGACTGAGGTTTATGATTAAATAGGAATTTGCCTAAGCACCTATAACAGAGCCCAGCATAGCCGGCACTCACTTGCCCTAATACTTCGCTAAGATTTTCGTTTATCTCCTCAGTATGCTGACGATCTGGCAATCCTGCTTGCTCCTCTAACTCTCCGAAGTCCTGCCCACTTCCTCACATACCTGTTCTCCCAATCCAGTCAGTGGCCTTACCCCCTGAAATCTCTCCCTCCCTCCCTCCCTCCCTGCTCTTGAAAAAGAAGACTGTGAAGAGACTTCAAGAAATAAAGTCAATGGGGCCCTGTGAATGCACACCCCAGCCAGGCTGGCCCAAGCCTTCCTCACCAGTGCAGCTGGTGTCGCCAACGGTGACCCGAAAGGTGAAATTAGGCTGGTGGGCTTGGCCCTCGGCTTTGAGAAGGTCGTACACGGGCGTCTTCCCTATTCTGGTCCCATACTCCTGCAGAAGGCTGATCGGGGTCTTGCCCGGGTTGGCTGCCAGCATTTGCTCTATACTGGAGGGAGGGGTACAGACCCTCATCACACCTCCCCTCTCTGCACCCACCTGGCCAAGCACTGCTGTATCAGACCCAGGCACATCATGGGGGTCACAGGGTCCAGGGGACCCCAGGCAGTACAGCAGCCATAGGCTGGGTTCAATGTGGAGTAGAGGTGCAGGCTGGGAAAGCAGGGTCCACTGCCCCAGAGCAAGCGGGGAATGCACTGTTCCTGTCTCAGTTAAGGCGGGAGATCCTGTGCCCGAGTTTAGATTGGAAGTGCATGTCCCTAACACAGTGCAGGCCAAGAACCCAGTACCCACCAAATGCACTGAATGTCGGAGGCATGAAGCCCAATGATCCAGTGCAGTCTGGGAACCTGGCCAGCCTCAAACTATTTCGAGCTGAAGGCAGTGGCCACTGCTCGGGTGAATGCTGGGAACCACGGCCCACTACCCCAGTGCTTGCCGGGAACAACCCTCAGGCCAGATGCATGCTGGGGCCGCGCCGCAACTCCTCCGCATCGCGCCACATTCTTCGCCCTGCAGTGATCGATGCGAGGCGGCTCACCTGGGCAGCCCGCAGCCCGTAGTAGTGCTGGAGCCCTGCTCCTCTTCACTCATTCCCTCCTCCGTCCCCGCGGGCGCCACCGTGACTTCAGCCTCCACCCGCCCCAATACTCCGCCGACAAGCTAGGGCCGGGGCCAAGCCCCTAGTCGCGGCCGGTCGGGCCCGCCGTGGGGCATGCTGGGATATGGAGTCTCCCGCCCCTCCCGCCCTCCCAAGTCCATGAATCTCCATCAGGAGGGGAGTTATCTGTCCCACAACCCTCCGCGTGCTGGTAGGCAGCACCGCCTTGTGGGAGGAGCGGACCCTTCCACTAACGCTTCCTGAGCTGAGGGTGGTTTTTTGTTTGTTTGTTTGTTTGTTTGCTTTAAGTATCGTACAGCTTCCTTCTGCGTCTCCTCTCCCCTGGGCAAGGGCTCTGGACATGCGCAGTAACAGAAAAGAAGCGGCTGGGGGCGGGGCGGCAGGGCTAACTTGAGCGGTGAGGTAGGGGTGAAGGGTTTCGAACACAGAGAACTACAGAACCCAGGAGCTCGCGTGTCATATTTGTCGCAGCTGGAGGGGCAGGGTCAAGCATGCACGAGAAGCTTCCCGGCGTAATTGGTTATTCCGGATGGCGCTTACTTGCCCTAGATGGATTACGATTGGTTACTTCACCTGTGGGGGCGGGGACAAGGAAAGAGTCAACCCCTTTGACCCCGCCTCTTTCTTGAGAAAAGGTGGTGATTGGTTTAGTTGGTGAGACTGCAGTCGGATCCTGACTCTCTGCAGTCTGCGAGGATAGGCCCTACCTGGACGTGGGGGAACACTGTTCCCTGCTCCTCAGAGCGCCGGGGCAGTTGTATGTCCAAGTCCATGTCAGACAGTTCACCTTCAGTCTAAGCCCCTAGCGTTCGGGCTTTCGTCTCACAGAACCTGCTTCCTTTTCCTAGATTGCCCTTAATCTCTCTTAACCATTTAATTCTGCCTCACAGCCTGTAGGGTTTACTCTTCTTTTCTAAAACCTTTTTAAAAAGAATGGCCCGAGTGAACCCTTCGTTAGCTGGCCAGGAGACCCCTCGAGCCTGAGAAGCAAGGGGACTGGAGGAACTAAGGCACATGGTGGTCTCATTCCTTCTGCCGTGGGCCTTGGGTCCCAGTTGAGAGCAAAAGAAGACTTTGACCTCCTAGAACAATCAATTAACCTGACTTTCAGAGCTCCATTCCCTGCTCCCCAAAGTCTCACAACCATTGAACTGAAAGATGAGGGAAAATCTTGTGATCTTGGAAAGAAAGAGGTCACGAAAAACATCTGATTCTAACGAGTGTTCTGAGAATGGGTCAGGGAAGAGATAGGACTCGCTCCGAGTCTGGGGTGGAGGTCCAGAGGAAACTTGGAATAATGAGGGGTCATCCAGGAACACGGAAGGGGGAGGGTACTGAGCTGAGTGGATTCCCATTGGGTGGAACTGGAGTGGTGACAATTAGGGGAGGAAAGCTGGCAAAATTGGTATAACGGGGAGCAACGCTGGCGCGCGGGGGTGGGTGGGGTGGTTTCCTATCTGAGGGGCTACTGCCTCAGGGTATATATAGGAGGGAGTTCATAAAACTGGCCTTAGGGGTCTCCTACGGAAGCAGCATAAGGCCCATGGTGGGACCTCCATCAGGGAGGTGACGGGCCCAGACGGACCAGGGACGAGCCAGGAGTACGCCGGATGGCAGCAGCAGGCTCCTTTAAGAGGCCGGCGGCTCCAGCGTAACATCCCCCACCCCCACCCCCTGCTCAGGGCGTGTCCGTCCCGGGGGGCCAGGGGCGGGGGCCTAAGAAGGAGCGGGAGTTCAAGCCGAGTGGGGACGGGGTTGGGGGGTGGGGGGAGAAATCTGGGGCTGACACCCGTACACGGCACGAGCATCGCCTGTGACGGCGCCCCGAGTCCGGTCGAGGGCAGCGGGGGGAGGAGAGAAGGAGGAGGAGAAGGAGGAGGAGGCGGGAGCAGTATCCGGAGCCGAGCTGCAGCAGCGCCGCCTTTTGTGCTGCGGCCGCGGAGCCCCCGAGGTGAGAGCCGGGCCGAGTTGTGGGGGGTAGGGGGCAGGGATGGGTCCGGGTCCTAGGATCCCGGTGGCGAGGGAGGGTTGGGATGCAGATGTGGCGCGGTGGGGGAGGGTGCAGCTGGGATGCTGAGGCTGTGGGGATGGAGGAACTGTGGACCTGGACCCGACGCCTGTGGGGATGGAAAGGAAAGGAACGGAGCGGAGGGACGCTGCGGCCCAGCTTGGAGATGAAGAGCCTCAAGAGCTGAAAAGGACTATATCGGGTGGGGGTTGGGGGATGATTGGAGAACAGACTTAAGGAACAGTGGGCTAGAGACCATCCTCCTCCTCCTCTCCTCCCACTCATCCTCAAGGAGAGGAGGGAAGGAGGAGAATGAGTTTGGGCCCCTGAGAGGGAAGGAAAGGAAAGACGGACAAGGCCTGGTGTGCTCACCGACCCCCTCACCCCCCCAACCCCGCACCCCGCGTGCGCACGCACACACACACACACACACACACACTCACACACTCACACTGCAGGCTGCACCTGAGGATTATTAGCAGGGAGCACCTGTTCCCGGATGCCCAGGCAATGGTCCCCCTCCCCTTCCACTATGAAGCCCCTAATCCCCTCCAGCTGTGATATTTACCTTCTTCCAGTTGTTGCATCTTCTCCTTCCCCCATTCCCCCATTAATGTGTGATTTTCTCCCTCTTTCCCTCCATCACCTCTGGCTTCCCTAACCCATTTCCCCAGCCCAGGCCTTTCATGAACCTCCTCCCTTTTCCCCACATATTCCTCAAACTCCTTGGCTTAAAAACATGTAAGAATCCTTTTTCACAGAGTTAAGACTCCTGATAACCATAGCCTTGGTGGAGGGGAGGGAAGAGAAGGGGTCAGAGGCTTTACAGATAGTGGGAGGGAATAGTGGGGTGTCTCTTAGAATTTAGGGAGTAGTCCTGCCTTCTAGCTCCATTCCTGTTCCCTCTTGGGAGGAGAGTGGGTGAGTGGTCCTCAGCCAGGAGGGAGTGCCCATGAGGTCTCTCCTCTACCCACAGTTCTCAAGCCAGTCAGTGCCTTCCTCTTAACAACTTGCAGTTCCCTTCCAACTTGCAGGATGAACCCCATCGCCCTGGGAACTCTGATTTTCAGCCAGAGGGTCATTCATACCAAGGGAAGGCAAGCAGAAAGGGTTCAGGAAGAAAAGGACCCAAGTGTGCCCTGGGCCTTCCTATGCAAACACTAAAGTTTCTATGAGCATGTAGGGCCTACTCTCCTCTATCTCACAGTTAAGGATGGCAAAAAGCACTTCCCTCTCAAGCCTGACACTCACTCACATTGGGGACTGAAGTGATGTTGGGAAGACCCACCTCCAGCACATACGAAAATGCACAACTAACTATCCATCCCCTAAGCCCCATTATAGGCAGAAGAGGCAAGAAGATTAAGTAAGGAAGTGGCTCAGGATTTGCTGGGTGTCCTGACAGCTGAGCATGGCAGAACCCCTCTAAAAACAACTGCTGTTTCCCAGTCCTTCCCTGGGAAGTGATGGAGATGATGATGTGGTAGTCTCGTTTTGCCAGAAAAAAGACTCTAAAAATTGTAGTACCCTCCACCCAGGACTAACCTAATGGCAAAATGTCTCACTGTGTGCAGTCCTGTCCCCCCTACCTGGGCTGGGAAGAAAAGGGATTAGGGATCAGAAATCCCTGCTGGGGGCAAAGGAGCAAAGTGTGAAGATGATGCCAGCAGGGGCTTCATGAGGGATTGGCCACAGAGACTGGTCTGTCTGCTTCATTTGCTCCCAGAAGGACTAGGGTCATGTGTGTGGTGGGGGATGGTGATGAGGAGGCAAGGACACTATTGCAGAAGAGACCAAAGATTATCCAGGATAAAGAGCCTTTTTCCTTTGCTTTTTTCATTTCTTGTTCTCCTCTTTCCTCCTGTTTGTCCATGTCCCTTGTCCCTTTCCACCTGTACCCTCCCTACTGCTTCATGCTTTGCATAGGAGGAAAAGAGAAAAAAGGAATGGGAATCACATGTATAAAACCCCTACTAGTGCTTGTCAGGCACTTTCCACGTGGCTAATGCTTACAGGGGGCTTGCTGGGTACTAGGTACTGGGTACCACTATCCCCATTTAGAGATGAAGGAACCAAGGCTTGTTAAGAAATCTCATACTCCAGGTTTCCCAAATGGTCAGGAGTGGAGACAGATGTCAACCAAGCATCTTTATTCTCGGCTCACCCATTCTCCCTCTGTAGCACACTGTCCCAAGCTAGGTGACAGAAATGGATAGACGGTGTAATTTGTATCTCTTCTTTTCCAATTTAAAATAGATTTTTAAATTTTTTATTTTAAAACAATTTAAAATCATTACTGAAATAGAAAATATAGATACGCCACAAAAAGAAATAACACCCGTAATTCCACCTATCTAGAAAATGGTACACGTTGGTATCTATCCTTCAAGATCTTTTAAAATGCACATTCAGCTCAGCAACTATTTGTTAAAATATGCTAAACTTCTTCCAGGTTCTCTTGAGGTCCTGAGCAGGAGAGACCCTTTGTGAGCTCCATAGCCCATCATATCTTGCTCCTACCTTCTCCTTCCCCTCAGACTTTAAAGGGCAGCGCTGAGGGGTGATCCTAGACCATTGTTGGCCAGGGGGTGAGGATTGGGTGCAGAGAGAATTAGGCCTTCCCTCTCAGACCAGAGGAGGTAGGATGGCAAGATTTACAGAAGGACAAAGGATCTGGTAGAGGAAGGATGGAACTCTAACACACCACTGCCATTGTGACCTGGTCCACCTGGAACCTAAAATTGAGATTTGTCTTGAGCAAATAGAAAGTCAGAGACCATGTCTCCCTTTTTATGGTCAGATGGAAAGACATGGCCTCTCCAGAAGCCACAAAGAAAGAACTGGTGTCCAGCCAACCAGGAAGACAAGGGACTGTATTCAAGGCATTCCCTACATCGTTTTACTTAACCCTCCCCACCCCATGAGGTAGGGTTAGGAGCCTTGGAGAGGTTACATTTCTTAAACTAATTTGTGGCAAAACGGAGGTTCTAGTTCTAATCAAACCAAATCCAGCGCTGGTTCTTCTTTTTTTCTCTCTCTCTCTATTGATTTTTTTAGAGAGTGGAAGAGAGAAACATCGATTGGCCACCTCCTGCATGCCTTGCACTGGGGATTGGCCCACAGCCTGGGCATGTGCCCTGACTGGGAATTAGAACTGGCGACCTCTTGGTATATGGGTCGATGCTCAACCACTGAGCCAGCCACACCAGCCAGGCTCAAAGCTGGCTCCTCTTTTCCTAAACAGTACATCCCCCAGACTCCCTACACCTTCATTGCCCACCCTGCTGGAAGATGTGGTGGCCGCTAGGGGTCTCAGGGCTTGACCTGTATGAGGCTGAGGGCCTGGATTTAGGGGTGATCTCCAGTTTTCCCCAGGTTCTCAGGAGAAGGCATAGCCTCCTCATGAGGGTAATGAGAAAAGCTGTAGTTATTTTCATCTGAGAAGAACCCTAGGGCCAGGACTATGGATTCTGTAAGATGCAAAACAAAAACAAGCTGCAGCCAAGTAACCAGAAGGGGTCGATCCTTCATCCTCTAAGGATCTCAAAGCCTGCAAAGGTGAAACTAACATTCCAAAGTCTTGTGTCTCCTTTCCTCATGATGGCCTCCCTTCCCACCCCCACTCAAGAGAGAAGGGGAATCTTCCTCCTTTTCCTGAATGCCAAGTGAAGTCCCAAACAAATGGCCTAGTGCTTAGTGTGAAAGCCCAAGATTTAGACAGATGGCTTGGCCTCTCCACTAAGCCTCCAAGACAGCCAGACAAGCAGCTTGGCATTGAGATTCTGCTGTTAGAACAGGAAGAAGCAAGAAAGAATTCAAAGGGTTCCCTTGCCACAGGCCTCCAGCATCTCAGGCTGAAGAATCTAGGAGGAGAAATTAAAATGGAGAGGGGAGTAGTCCCTGCCCCCACTCCACGTCTATAGCCTCCTGAAGGAGCACTCTGGGAACCAGCACCAAAGCAGAAAATCTGGTAGCTGAAACTGAATTAGGGTGTCCAAAGAACCTCTTACCCTGGAAGATGTATAGCTTAGGGACCACTCTGTCCCCTCACCCAATCTGGAGCAGAGTTCTGCACAGTAAGCACTTGATAAATATGGTTGACAGAATGACTGAGTTGAGAAATCCACTCTCTCCTGTCACACTACTGCCCTTCCCCAATGCTCTGCATAATTGATGGCTGGGGAGACAGCTCCCCTCCCCCAGGGTGACCGAATGTCTGGGCCAGGGGCTCCTAGCCATGATATCCCCCCAAAGTCCTGGCGCCAAGGCGGGGGGGGGGGCGGCAGTGGGGCACAGCTGGCAGGTCAGAGAGAAAGGAAACAGGAGTGTGTGTGTGTGTTGAGAGAGAGAAATCTCCACTTTACTACAGCTCCCTGGGGCTTTAGCTTTTTCCTCACCCCTTCAGCTTCAGGTCAATGTAGAATAGTTGTCATTAGCCTGAAAACAGGGTGAGGGTGGATTGAATGTGGCTAGATTCCTTCCCTTTTCCTTGATCCCATCTTTTTCTTCAGCTGCTCCCACTGCCCTAAAAGACAGGTGAAATCGCTTCTCTCCCTTGCTCCCCAGCTGCTGGCCCTGGATACCAGCGGGCCCTCTGGGAAAGCCTGGTGAACTGGAGAGGCTAGGCTGCATGCTACCCTCACTGTGCCTGAACCTCTTAGTTGCCAAACACCAGGAGAAGGCTGAAAATTTCTTTTTAAAAGCCAGATGTTGTCCTACTCAAGGCTCAGCTTCCAGTGTCCTTTTTCTCAAAATCAGTCTTTCAATCCATCCTTCTCAGGTTTGACTCTCCTTGGGCTTCGTGCTGTTTTGGTTTCTGAATCTCTCAGCCTGTCTTCCCTCTCCGGCTGTGCCTGTCGTTCTGTGTTTATTCCCCCTATAACCCGATTTCCTGCTTTTTCTGTAACACCGCACCCCCAATGCCAGCCTAAGTCCACTCTCCAGCATCAGTCTCTCTCCCTCCATTTGCGCTCGGCCGAAGATCTGCATGAGGGGTTGAGGGAGGAATGGGCTGAAGGGGAGCCGGTGGCTGGAACCGTGGTCCACACCTGCGACCACCTCAGCCATCCTGGTAACCAGCACGTGGGCCAGCCTGGGTCAGGGGCGGGGCCAAGGCGCAGCCCCACCCCCGCCGTCGCTGTTCACGTGACTCTGGGCTAATCTTGTCCTGGTGACTTCACGCGCTGCCTCGGGCCCAGTCGTCATGGTTACGCCGCAGCGCCCAGAGCTTTCCTCACCCGCTGTATCCCCTCCCCTTCCCCACCCGGACCCACTCCTGCTGCCGGGTCCCCGCCCCCAGCCACGCGCCCTGCGCCACGTGATGGCCGGGAAGGAGGTCGGGAGGGGGGAGGGGGTGTTGGGTCTATAACCTCTTCCTCTCCGCCTCAAATGGCCCTTCGCTTGGGCTTCTGGTGGGCCAGCAAGCGGCCCTGACTCCTTGAGCACCGATCCTGCCGGGCCTGTGTTGTCGGGGCTCTGGAGATTCTGCGGCGTATTGGCATGTTACTTGGCCTGTGTTTGTCATTTGCATTATAGTGTACTTCTAACCTCTTCAAGCCGCTGATACCTCGTGGAATATGTTGGGGATTCGGAGGCTGAAACTGAGGGTGACTTCAGCTTTCTGAGCCTCCGCTTTCTCAGGAATATAAAGGGACCGATGATAACATTACCTTCACTGGTTGGTTCTGAGAAGTGAAGGAGCTTATGTATAGGTAGTATGGGTACCACCCTTAAGATGTTCCTCTAGGCTGAGTAGAGCAGTGGCCCCATCTCACTGAGCACCGCCTGCGTGCCAGGTGCTGTTTGAAGCCCTGGGATCCCATGCGAAATCATAGCTCTCAGAGGAGCCAGGCACCCTATCGCACTGTGCGCCCAAAGTCATGGGAGCCATGATAGGAAGCACAGGGGACTGTGCCAGAGCAGCAGGGATGAAGTGAAATTGGAGAGCAAGAGATTCAGCCAGAGAGCACACCTGGGTACAGAGCCTGAGCCTCTTCCTCGCTAAGGCTTCACGGGCAGGTTATTTAATATTTCTGTCAAATGGGCAAAGGATGTCTTCTTTAGAGTCTTGAGCATTGAAAGAGCTAATGTGCCTATAACCGAGGCTAACATACATAGTAAGCCCTCCATGAGAGTTAGCCATTCTCAACTCAGTTCCGTATGGCCTGGATACCAATAGCAGTGGGAGATGAGGCTGGGAAGAGGCCAGAGCCCAGAGGTGAGGTGCAGAGGTGAGGGGGCTGGACCAAAGTCAGTGGGGGGCGACGAAAGGATTAGAAGCAGAAACGGTGCTGGCCAACTTGTTGCTTAGAAAGATTGTTCTTGCCCTGACTGGTTTGGCTCAGTGGTTGGAGTGTGGGCCTGCGGTCCAGAGAGACCCGGGTTCGGTTCCCGCTAAGGGCACATATCTTGGTTGCGGTTTCTCCCCGGCCCTGGTTGGTCTTGCAGGTGACAGCCACTCGATGTGTCCCTTTCACGTCGATGTTTCTCTTCTCTCTCTTTCTCTCTCTCCCTCCCACTCTGTATGAGCAAAGAATGGAAAAATGTCCTCAGATGAGGATAAAAAAAAGATTGTTCTAGCCCCAACCAGGTGGCTTGATTGGTTGGAACGTCATCCTGTACATCAAAAAGGGTTGCGGGTTTGATTTCCAGTCAGGTCTCATACCTGAGTTGTAGGCTTGATCCCTCCATCAAGGCACATATGGAAGGCAACCAATGGTTATCTCCCTCCCTTCCTCTCTCTCTCAAAAAAAACAAAGGATTGTTCTAAAAGGCTAGTGGAGAATGGGGTGGGGGGCCTTGGAAGAATTTGGAAACCATTTAAGAGGGAGTTGTCCTGGGTCAGGTGACACAGCTAATGAGGCCTGAATTAAGATAGTAAAGTGGGACTAGAGAGAATAGAATGGCATTGGGTCAGAGCTTTTCAAATGTGCCAGGCATAATAAGAATCACCCGAGGAGGAGCTTGTTATATACACATATTTCAGGCCCACTACACGCCCACTGAAAAAGTTTTTGAGGCCTGGAAATTGTGTTACACCAGCTGAGACCATCAGAGGTGCCAGATGTCCATGTTGATCGGCATCATTATCCAGTGAGTCCTTTCTGTGTAGAGATTCCTGACACCCCTCTGCTGATGTGATTCAGAGGTTCTAGTGCAAGGGGTTAAGGAACAATGAGAGGATTGCTGTCCTCAGGAATCCTCACATCTCAGGATTTGGTAACTAGATGTGGAAGGAGACTAGAATGACCCCGTGTCAAGCTCTGGACAAATGTGGTATAGGGTGCAGAATTGGCTGTGCTTCAGTGGTAGCTAGTTTACCCATTGTACAATCGGAGAATCTGATGTTCAAACACAGCTTGCCTGAGGTCACTTATAGCAAGTGGCAGAAGAAAGGCCAGGATTGAGTTCTTAATGGTTGCTTTTTAAATAGCACCCAGCTATGTATTGGGATAAGTCTTCATTGTCTGGAAAGTCGGGTCTTGGTTTGGGGACCTGGGGATGGGGAATGGAGAAAGAGAAGACAGTGTCTTCTCTAACTGACTCCTTGGGGAGAAGCTGAAATGATTGGGGTGGGGCTAAGCAGGATGAATCAGTAGAGTACAGCTTGTCCTGACACAACTTCTGCATCTCCATTGGATGGTTCTGCCTTGTTCCCCATCTGTGCTGAGAGCGGAATAGTGGAGCTGATTGATTACAGCCTTCACTTACCTTGAAGAGGCCCAGGTGTATACCTCTGACCACCCTCACAGGAGCCCTAAGTGTGCCTCAGAGTGACTCACCTGAGTTTAGTGTCCCTGCTACCACCTCAGCTATGCCATGTGTTAAGTACATGAGTGCAAGGCCCAGGTGCATTGCCTGTATGCAGGAGGCCCAGGAATGTCATCTGAGTGCTTGAGTGGCACTGACTATTATAACCACTGTCACCTGTGTGTGCTTCCATGCAAGGGAGCCCTAGGTATGTTACTTTTGGGTGCCTAAGATTGAGACTCAGGTAAAAGGTTTGTATCTGAGACCCTTATATGTGTGTGTGCATGTGAGCCTCAAGTGAAAGAAATATGTGCTCCTGAGGCAAATTACAGCAATCTTTCAGGGAGAAGGGACTAACTAGTCTTACTATAAGACTTGAATTTGAGAAATATTTTACGAGTATGTACCTGAGCAGGGCTGTTACCTGTGTCTACCTGAGAATGATGATACTTGAGTATGTTACCTGTACACCTGAGTATCATTCTCAGACTTGTGTTACTAATAGATGCTTTAGTGGAAGCCTTTGTATCAGGTTTCCTAAAATGGGTCCCAGGTGAAACGCAGGGTGTACCTGAGGGTGAAGCGCAAGTGTTATTTCTAGTAGGAAGCCCTGTTCCCCAACCTGTGCCTCTGCCTCTAGGGTGAGCATTCTGAGCCAGTGTACCTGTGGCTTTGACCGTTTCTCCCTCCTTTGTTCCCACAGGGCCCACCGCTCACCACCACACTGGGGCCCAGAGGCCATGGCCTGTCTCCATGAGACCCGCACACCTTCCCCTTCCTTTGGGGGATTCGTGTCCACCCTAAGCGAAGCGTCCATGCGCAAGCTAGACCCAGACACATCTGACTGCACCCCTGAGAAAGACCTGACGCCTACCCAGTGTGTACTTCGAGATGTAGTGCCACTGGGTGGGCAGGGCGGGGGTGGGCCCAGCCCCTCCCCAGGTGGAGAGCCACCTCCTGAGCCTTTTGCCAACAGTGTCCTGCAGCTACATGAGCAGGATGCAGGGGGCCCAGGGGGAGCCGCTGGGTCCCCTGAGAGTCGAGTGCCCAGAGTTCGAGCGGATGAGGTGCGTCTGCAGTGCCAGAGTGGCAGTGGCTTCCTGGAAGGCCTCTTTGGCTGCCTGCGCCCTGTCTGGACCATGATTGGCAAAGCCTACTCCACGGAGCACAAGCAGCAGCAGGAAGGTAGGCTTCGTCCATTTTGTCCTCTTGGGGGCTCTCTCCGTTTCCCTGAGTTTGAGATCTGTTGGACAGACCCCATTTAAGTCACCTGATGACCCTCTCTCCAGAGAACCTGGCCCAAGCTCCTTATCCATCAATCAACTACTGACTTCCCAGCTTTTTAGTCCGCCCATTCATTGCCTTCCCTGTCCCCTCAAACCTAGTCTTCTTGACCTATTTTGGCTACTTGTCTGCCTCACACTCCAGTCATTTCAGCCAACCCAGGCCTGTCCCCTGTGCCTCACCATCACAAGGCCCTGAGTGTGGCTCTCTCTGAACCTGTGGCACTGTGCCTCCTGTCCACAGACCTTTGGGAGGTGCCCTTTGAGGAAATCCTGGACCTGCAGTGGGTGGGCTCAGGGGCCCAGGGTGCTGTCTTCCTGGGGCGTTTCCATGGGGAGGAGGTGGCTGTGAAGAAGGTTCGGGACCTGAAGGAGACTGACATCAAGCACCTGAGAAAGCTGAAGCACCCCAACATCATCACCTTCAAGTAAGGTTAAGGGCGTGGGTTAGGGATACTATGCTGAGGGCAGGGACCTACTTGGGCAGCAGGGATCTACCCCACCCCTTTCAATTTATTTTATTTATTATTTTTTTAATAGATTTTTTTATCCTCCCCTGAGGGTATATTTTTACTAATTTGAGAGAGGAAAAGAAAGAAAAACACCAATATGAGAGAAATATCAATTGGTTGCCTCAGATGTGCCCCAACCGGGCACTGAACCTGCGACCCTTTGCTTCAACTAACTGAGCCACGCTGGCCAGGGCTACCCCACCCTTTTTTAAGGTGATACCCAAATTGCATAGGTGGGAATGGGTTTTCAGGTATGAATACTGGGCTGGCTTCATACTACTGTTCGGCCCTCAGGGGAGTGTGCACCCAGGCTCCCTGCTACTGCATCCTCATGGAGTTCTGCGCTCAGGGCCAGCTGTACGAGGTACTGCGGGCTGGCCGCCCTGTCACCCCCTCCTTGCTGGTTGACTGGTCCATGGGCATCGCTGGTGGCATGAACTACCTGCACCTGCATAAGATTATCCATAGAGACCTCAAGTCCCCCAAGTGAGTAAGCAAGCAAGCAGGGAGACACTCATATGCATGTTCTCCTGCAGGTGACCCCACCCAAGTCAGTGTGGTCATCTCCCTGCTTCCAGACCCTGTCCTAAGTCCATGTGGCCATCTCAGAAACCCCTCCCAGTGACAGCCCTACCTTGGGAGGGCTGTGGTGAGCTCCCTGCCTCTGGGTGTCCCAAACAATTTAACAGAAAGGTAGAGCTGCTGCAGCTAGATGAGGTGTGTGGAGGGGCCTGGACCCCAGCTGACTACACTCTTTACCAGCATGCTAATCACATACGACGATGTGGTGAAGATCTCCGATTTTGGCACTTCAAAGGAGTTGAGTGACAAGAGCACCAAGATGTCCTTTGCAGGAACAGTAGCCTGGATGGCCCCCGAAGTGATTCGTAACGAGCCTGTGTCTGAGAAGGTCGACATCTGGTGAGGGCCAGGCTGAGGACTGAGAACAGCAGATGGTCAGCACAGGGAGGGTGGGGAGGAGGTCTTCCAGGATCTGTATGCAAGTGAGATGCTTCAGTAGCAGGCAGATCCTCTGGAGGAATCACCTCCCAAGTGATAACCCCTTTTATTCCCAGGTCCTTTGGCGTGGTGCTATGGGAACTGCTGACTGGTGAGATCCCCTACAAAGATGTAGATTCCTCAGCCATCATCTGGGGTGTCGGAAGCAACAGTCTCCATCTGCCAGTGCCCTCCAGCTGCCCAGATGGTTTCAAAATCCTGCTTCGCCAGTGCTGGTAAAAGTGGCCTGCCAAAGCTGGGAAGCTAAAGGGGTGTTGCTGATGGCTAGCCAGCATGTAGAACACACGCGTCCAGGCCCAGAATCCTGAAGACTGTGAATCCAGGGGACTACAATGTAGAAATGAGAGGAGGTGGATTGACCAGTAATCTGCAGGGGTACATTAAATTCAAATACACACAGGCTTTCTGTGACCTTGGGCAAGCACTATGATCCTTAGAATGTAGGAAAGGCCCTGGACCCTTGTTTGGAACCTAGACCCTAAAAGAAAATTGTACATTTCTAATCTTTGGTTAAACATTTCCCAGTGTGTTTCTTTTAATGTAGTCATCTGGAAAAGGGCTTTTTGGCAAACAAGTTAAAAAAAACAGAGTTAAATAGGTTTGCTTACTGCAGGACTTTGAAATGCTAACAGGTTATAACATTTCCTAGAGATAGCTGACCAGGGAATTCTTTTGTCACGGAGTACATTCTAGGATTGGATTCTCCAGGACACTACAAAGGATGCCCTAGTTCCTTTCTGGTCCTCCCTCAAATTCCTTTCTCTCCCCCAACTCCATTCCCTCCAGGAACAGCAAACCAAGAAATCGTCCATCATTCCGACAGATCCTGCTACATCTGGACATTGCCTCAGCAGATGTCCTTTCTACACCCCAGGAGACTTACTTTAAGTCCCAGGTGTGCTGTGGGTAGGAAAATGAACGCCTCAGCTCCTTCTCTTTGAGGAGATGCCCTGTGAGGGGAGGCTGGGAAGAAGGGTTGATTGGAATGGAATAGATAAGGTTTTGAAGGTCTGAGACCCGGTGTTGGTTAGTCATGTTCTTCACCCCTCATTCTCTCCATCCCCAGGCAGAGTGGCGTGAAGAGGTAAAGCTACACTTTGAAAAAATTAAGTCAGAAGGGACCTGTCTGCACCGCCTAGAAGAGGAGCTGGTGATGCGTAGGAGGGAGGAGCTCAGGTGTGTGCCTGTTCTGAAAGGTGATTTCAGCAACAGCAGGGACTGTGGACCAGTTCCCAGAGACTGGGGTAAATTAGGCACCAGGTGAAGCCAGCTCTCCTCAGGGACCCTTCTGCTCATTTCAGACACGCCTTGGACATCAGGGAACACTATGAACGGAAGCTGGAGAGAGCCAACAACCTGTACATGGAGCTTAATGCCCTTATGTTGCAGCTGGAACTCAAGGAGCGGGAGCTCCTCAGGTAACCATGTGGCCCTTTATGTACTCCCCAATCCCATTTCATGGAGCTGTGCCTGACTCAGATACTACTGAACCTGGGACCCCTTCCTGGTCTCAAGTGGTATCTGTCTTTAGGAGGGAACAAGCTTTAGAACGGAGGTGCCCAGGTCTGCTGAAGTCACACCCTTCCCGAAGCCTCCTGCATGGGAACACAATGGAGAAGCTCATAAAGAAGAGGAATGTTCCACAGAAGCTATCACCCCACAGTAAAAGGTGAGACCAGAGTTAAGTGCTGAGGTTCAAAACTGGCAAGAGGGCCCTAGCCAGTTTTCTCAGTGGTTAGAGCATTGGTCCGCAGACCAGAGTCATGTGTTCGATTCCCTATGAAGGGCATATACCAGGTTTAATCCTTTGCCTGTTGAAGCTGTTAAGGAGGCAACCAATTATTTCTCTCCTTGCCACCCTTCTCATCTAAAAATTAACAGAAAAATATCCTCAGATGAGGGCTAACAAATTGGCAAGATGGATGTGGGAGAAGCAGGGGTATGAGTCAAGGATGCAAGGAAGACTGGTACTGGATTTAGATGCAGAGAGATGTGCTTTTTGTACCGCCCAAGATTAGGGAGTGCTTTCAGTTGATAAATTTGTTAATCTTAAAACTTCTCTCTCCCACCAGGCCAGATATCCTCAAGACTGAGTCTTTGCTACCAAAACTAGATGCAGCCCTGAGTGGGGTGGGTCTTCCTGGGTGTCCTAAGGGTCCCCCTTCACCGGGACGGAATCGCCGTGGCAAGACCCGTCATCGCAAGGCCAGCGCCAAGGGCAGCTGTGGGGACCTGCCTGGCCTTCGTGCAGTTGCACCACCCCATGAACCTGGGGGACCAGGAAGCCCAGGGATGCTAGGAGGGGGACCCTCAGCCTGGGAGGCCTGCCCTGCAGCCCTCCGTGGGCTCCATCATGACCTCCTGCTACGAAAGATGTCCTCTTCATCCCCAGATCTGCTGTCAGCAGCACTGGGAGCCCGGGGCCGGGGAGCCACAGGGGGAGCCGGGGACCCTGGCTCACCACCTCCAGCCCGGGGTGATACCCCCCCAAGTGAGGGCTCAGCACCTGGTTCCACCAGCCCAGATTCACCTGGGGGAGCCAAAGGGGAGCCACCTCCACCAGTAGGGCCTGGTGATAGTGTGGGGCTGCTGGGAACTGGAAGGGAAGGGACAGCGGGACGGGGAGGAAGCCGGGCTGGGTCCCAGCACTTGACCCCAGCTGCACTGCTGTACAGGGCTGCTGTTACTCGAAGTCAGGTAAAGTATGAGATGGTCCTTGAGTTCTCCTCCCCCCCCCCCTCCCCGGTCCATTAACTCACCTCCCACATTAGGCTCCTGATGTTAAGCCAATCTCTACTTAATGCTTTATAATTATGTTCCCTTTTCCTGGGCCCCATTACTTCTACCCATTTTTGGCCAGTCTATCCATCTCTTCCTACAGAAACGTGGCATATCATCAGAGGAAGAAGAAGGAGAGGTAGACAGTGAAGTGGAGCTGACACCAAGCCAGAGGTGAGTGATGGAGTACAAGTGATGGCATTCTTTTGCTTCCTGGGCCTCAGAGAGCGCAAGCAAGATGTAGCTGTCTCTGACATATAGGTGGCCTCAGAGCCTGAACATGCGCCAGTCATTATCTACCTTCAGCTCAGAGAATCCATCAGATGGGGAGGAAGGCACAGCTAGTGAGCCATCCCCCAGCGGCACACCTGATGTTGGCAGTACCAACACAGATGAGCGGCCAGATGAGCGGTCTGATGACATGTGCTCCCAGGGATCAGAAATCCCACTGGACCAACCTGCTTCAGAGGTGGTTACTGGCCCTGAACCCAGCTCCTCAGCCATCCAGCACCAGGACCTACTCACGAGGGAGCAAGTAAGTAACAAACAGCCAGATATTGGATAGGCAAGATACTTGGTCATTATAGAGCTATTGGGGAGATAAGATTCAGCAGATAGGTATCAGTAGGCTGCTGGCTATTAAAGATTTCAGTGAAGGATCCTGAAGGAATCTATAATGCCAAGAGATGCTGAGCCTCACACCTCATTGCATGTCTCTTCACAGGGCCCTCCCAATTTTGACGACTCAGACTGTGACAGCACTGAACTGGACAACAACAGTGGTGAAGCCTTGCAGCCCCCAGCCGCCCTCCCTCCATGAAAGCCACTCTTATTCCTGTACATAGAAATATTTATATAAATAATATATATGCGCCACATAATCAACAGAGAAAGACAGGGCTATCCCAGCCTTAAGTCAGGTTCAAGGGAGACTGACCCCTGACCAGTTCACCTGATGAAGTCTAGGGACACTGGCAGCTACGGAAATGAAGAATAAAGACTGCCCTAGAGCTGTGGGTAAGGGCAAACTGGCCCCTCTCTGCTTCCCCTGATCATGTTCCATAAGCAGTCAGGCAGTGAAAAAGCCAGACTTGTTCTTATGATCCTACCCCATGGAGAAGGAAAGGGAGCCAACTTAACCGCACTTTTCTGTTTTCCATTTACTGTTTACACATTTTGCACTTGGGATGAGGGAGGCTAAGGCTGGGTTCTCCCTTCTGAGATTTCTCAGGTGCAATGTAACTAATTTCTTTGTCCCTCCGTTTCTCTGCCCAAGCCCTAGCTTAGGGTCTAGGGGGAGGTTAGAAGATTGTGAAAGCATGTGAATGGCTCAGGCTGAAGAACTGGGGTATTAAGTCCCTGCTTTTATTTTGGTGCCTGATTGGGGTGGAGACTGCCCTACTGTACCCCCTGTGAAAAAACCTTGAAATATAACCACTCCATGCAGGCCCAGCTGTTGAGGGTTTTCTTGGTGAAAGAATGAAATAGCATACATTGTAAAGTAGGAGTCTTGGGCTCCAGACATTATATGAGGACTCTGGACAAGTTACTTCCTCCTCTTATGCTTTTTCTTTTAAATTTATCTTCATGAAGATAAATTTAAAAGAAACTTATCTGCATAAATGGGAACAGGTAACTCACTAAAGGATTTCAATAGAAGGACAGATGATGTTAAAACAAGATACTGACGTTTTTAGCTTGGACAAGGGGACAGACATTCCCAGCAACTTGAACGTGAAAGACACTTCCAACAGCTCCCATGTGTATGCATGCGCATCCTTTCCCACAACCCCAACCCTCAATGGAATTGCCTCCTCTTTACAGATAAATCCTAGGAAAATGTAACCCCCAACCTTTGGAATCAAGGGCACAGCCACCTTGCTATAACTAGTAGGTCACTTTTCAATGCAGGCTCAAGGGAAAATCCAATCAAGGGCTACAAAAAAAAAGATGGAGTGGTAAAACAGAAGAAAACATCTTAACCGGAATAAAGGCTTATATTCGAAACCCAAGCAGGGTCCTTGTCCTTTGAGGGATAAAAGGTGGAAAAATAACAGCAAGACAACAGGAATAAAACCCACATGAATCACTGTGGCATCCAGTTTCTATTCACAAAGAAAAAGCTCCAGTCCATCTTTTAATTTTTTTGAAAAATTCCTGACATTACAGAACTAAACTGAAATGTATTAATATTCCACTCTTACATTTCCATGACAAAAAAAATTCATGAGCCAAAAAAAAAAAAAAAAACCAACAGGGAAAAGCTTATAAAACTAAATATGGATCTCAGCATTAACAGCTGAACAGAGAAAGGAATTAAAACGCTTTAATTAAAAAATCACGAGTGGATGATAAAGTGTGTAGAAACTGAAAATTTACAAACTATTTAAAACCTGGAATCACTGACTGTTCAGAAACTACACAGATGGATCATGGGTGGTGGTGAACAGCAGAAAGGGATTATGGATGAATCTGTATTGTTCTAGCTGCTCCCCATGCCACCCGTCTCCGAAGAAAGCCTGTAACACAAAACAAGAACTCAAAGTTAGTTTGAGTGCCCAGCTGCACCTCACCTCCAAATCTTTCCACCTGGTGGTAAACTGTGAAATAGAATTTATGTGAAACATACTCAGTGGTTCAGTATCAAGAGCGACATTTTAAGGTTTCTTGGATTAACCAGTACCATATGAAAGCCCTGAAATCCAAGCTTCATGAGGGCAAAATTACCTCAGACTCAAAGAGAACCGAGGACCTTGGTTAAGTGTGTGCGTAGCTCACACTATGTTCCTTAAGAACCTCTGTGGGAGACACTTGATGAAAATACACCACACACTAAAGTATCCTCTTTGAGTCACAAAACACACAAGCAATGTTTCTTTACTGCTGAGCTTTTATTTCTACTCCTCCTAGATACTGATAGAATAGTTTAGGAAACATTTATCTGAAAGTAGCCTCACAAGGCTAATGCTGAGACAGCTTTTTATTCTAGAACAGTCCTAAGTTTCTCTATCAGTATGAAGGCTATTAAGAAATAATGTAGTTTTAAATGCTAAAGGATGTCAAAGAGGACATCCAAAGGGAACAGCAAGTATGAGTTAAGAATTATACTCAACCTATAGTTGTTAGGGTTAGTTTTTAGAACTTAAAAGTGGAAGCCAAAATAATTTGTTTCGGCAACTCTTTAGCTTATTCTAGAAGCTCCCAATTCTGTGGTCTTAAGACAAACATCCTTGGCTATAATGTCTTTGTTTGAAAACATCATTTGAAGCCCTGGAATCCAATTGTGGGCTTTGAAGAAAAGGTATGTAGGCATTATGGCTGGCTTCGCCAATATTAAGTAGCCATTAAAACTTAGCTTCCAGCCCTGGCCAGTTGGGTTCAGCAGTTAGAGCATCGGCCCACGGACCAGAAAGCCCTGGGTTCTGTTCCCACAAAGGACCTTGGTTGCGGTTTGTCCCCGGCCCCAGCTGGGGTCGTGTGAGTGGCGACCAGTCAATGTGTGTCTTCTCACATCAATGTTTCTCCCCAACCCCCACTCCATCTGAAGATAAATGCAAAAATATCCTCGGGTGAAGATTTAAAAAAAAAGGGGGGGGGGGCTTCCATTTTGAATAGAACTAAATATGTTACAGCTGAAGTTTCAGTTCACAAATTTACTTTAGGATGACCAGCATAGTCCTGGCCAGTTTGGCTCAGCAGCACTTTTAGAGCATCAGCCCACGGATCAAAGGGTCAAGGACACCTGCCTCCATTGAATGTTCCATCCCCAGCCCCAGATGGGTCATTCAAGAGGCAACCAATCAATTTGTCTCTCTCACATCACTGTTTCTCTACTTCCCTTCCACTCTTAAAAAAAAAAAAAAAAATCAAATGGAAAAATCTCAGGTGAGAATACATTTATATGACTGGTATTCTGCATCTCTTCCACAACAATGACCAGAGGGTCAAGAAAAAGATGGGTCAACTACAAACTACTTTCAAGTCAGAAATGGTATTTCTGTCTGGGTATGAAGGGGAATATTTTGTTCTTAAAGAGTAGACTCTTGCCAGTGCCAAAATGGGATAATCTAGGGTAACGCAAACAACAGGCCCTGAATGAAAGAATTTAGGGGAAACTGCTGGAAACAGTTTAGATCTAGGACCTACAAAAAATCAAGTTCATGCAAGAAGGTGGTGGCACTTTGCCACAAAAAAAAGAGCTTAGAATTGTCCAAAATTTATGCACACATCCTGAGCAGGGATTGGAAGAGGGAGGCAGGTGTAGAGGGGACAAGGAGATGGGAAAACCCAACCAGAAATATTCTTTTAAGGACTCTAGGTGATGGTAGTCAACTCCTCAAAACATCTGGATTCCTTCCCAGCAACCCCTCTTTCGGGAGAACTCATTAGGTGAAGAAGTCTTCTAATTAAGGACTAGATAAAAATAAAAACCAGGTCTCTGAGGGGAGATGCTATCAGCAAGATTAAGTCCAAACTAGAAAAAGAGCTTATATAAGGAGAGCTGGGCCACATGATTAAGTAGCGGCTTGTAAATAACAAGAAAAATCCTATCTGGACAATGAACTAATTTTTGCCTTTCTAGTCCTCCATGTAGACTTGGGGCATGTAAAATGAACTCAGGCCCAATCTGGGATTGAGGTGCCACAATACCAATTAATGTATTGCAATATTCATGAGCAATCCGTTTTTGTTTTTGTTTTAACACAACAAAATAAACCAAAAGGAATGTGGGAAAAGGTCCTAAGAAAATAAAACCTCTACAATGGTTCTCTAATGCCTTGGGGAAGAGCATTATATACTTTCATTACCCTGGCAATATGTATTCAGGTAGAATGGAAGATTACCAGATGCCTTTTGCTATTATACCTATAGTATTTCTACCCTTTTATGGAGAACAGTAAGGCTTCAAGGGAGATTAAGTACACATTTAATTGTTAGTCCTCACTAGTCATCTGTGTGATTTGCAAATTTGTTTTCCTAGGGCCTCTGTTTTTTTAACCTGATAAATAGGTGGATTGATGACTTACAGTTGCTATTAATGGTTCCTTCCAAATCTAAGTCTATAATTCTCTACTCATGATAAATAGAGGTTGGTGGTGAGACAGAAGGATAAGCAAGGAACAGAAAAAAGGATAAAGGGACTGAGTCTAGTAAATCAGGGTTGATTTTTAGCATGACTGGACAGAATCTTGTCCAACTTTGGGTGATGTCACAAGTTGATTGTTCAAGACTTCCCCAATGTCATAGGAAGAGGAATGCCAGTTTAGAGGAATACAGATAAACTGGCAGACTTTAAACTTAACCCCCCCCCATTCTGGGTACAGAAATAACTTCTTTGTATGTATGCCCTGTAAAAGATCCTCAGAGTATCCCACTCACCAAAGAAAACAAGCCTGGGATGGATAGCTCTGTTACTTGCTGGTATTGGCAAGGTAAGGGATCTGAGAAATCAGAGAATTATTCTTCACTAAAGAATCTTCTTGCCAATTATGGAAGACCCTCCGAATTTAATCTGCCACAGATCCCATCTCCCTTTGTGGGGAATGACAAAGGACTACAAAATTAACCAGGGATACAAAGAGATCCAGTCAGTTTTACCGACTCCCTAGTCAAGCCACAGACCACAAGTTCCCACCCCTTTACCCTTCACAGCACACGGTCAACTAAGGTTCTTACTGTGGCAACTTTATTACAACTAGAAACACAAATCTGGCCAAGGCGGCCAGCTGATAACTTAACCATTAAATAATTAAAAAAAAAAAAAAAAAAGGTTAACGGAGAAGCTTTTATTCATTAACACAGAGCCTAACACATTGTTATATTGCAAGGCAGAATAAAGCTACAAAAAAGTAACAGAATGAGAAAGAGCAAGAACTGTGGCTCTAGGTAAAGTATTCAACAAGTCAGACTCTGAAACAGGCACTCAGCTGAAATGACCTAAACCTAAATACCCCATTGCCCCCACCCCCACCCTGTTATCCCCCAAATAGTAAAAAGGAAATGTCACAAGCTCACAATTGTTTGGTTCTCACCAGTGTTAACAAAGGAAAACAAAATGAACCAAGAATTACATGAGGGGGTGCCTCAAGATATGCAATCAGTAGGGGGAGAATCTCTGTTTCTCGCCTTTCAGTTTGTTAGTTACACATGGCACGGCAGAGGTGGTGGTGGTGGTGGTAGCTGAAGCCCCGGTACCCTTAGCAGCAGACACAACATTTAGAGCCAGGAGAGGGATGGGTTTCATGCCAAGCAGACTGGAGACACAAGGGGCGGTCGGAAGAGGGTTGGGGAGGCTGGAGGGTGCGTCGGAGGTCCCCGCTGTGGCGAGCGAGGGGGTGGTGGTGGAGGAGGAAGAAGAAGAAGAAGGGGTGGAGGGTTGAGAGAGGTTGATGCTGAGGTGATCAGGGATCGTGACGGAGGCTGCCTGGGAGGAGGGTTTAGCGTTTTCTAAACTGTAACAGAGGAAAAAAGGAACAAAAAAAACGGGTGGGTGGAAGGGAAGACCACAAAAGGGAGAAAGTACAGGACAAAAACCGCTTCAGTTATCAGTAAGTGCTTCTGGTTGCAAATTAGGAAGACCTAATACCAATTTGTGACAAACTGTCTTTTAGTTTGTATCCCACCCTCTAAAAATGTATACTTGCCAAATTTCATTTCACAATGCTATTTAAAACTATGGTACAGAAAAAGCTGGCTGAGAAAAGAAACACATTTCTATGTATGACACATTGATTCAACCCAGAGGTCAGAAAGGAATGATTTCAAGTAGGTAATAACACTCAATCTCCAAACAAAGATCAATGTTTCACCCACCAATCACTTGTTAAGTTCTAGGAAGTTAACCCACAGAATTGAAAAAAATAAAATAAAATTATTTCCCTGTAAATTAATATGAAAGTTTCCTTCCATCTCCACAGCAAACTAACAATATATTAGGATGGACAAGGGAAAGAGATCAAAGTAGGTCAATGAGTAATTTCAAAGAATGTAGCATTTTCAAAAAAAAAAAAAAAAAATGCTAAGAAAAAGAAGCATAGATAAGAACTAGAGAAGCTTCATTTCTGGTGAGGGGTTGTGGTGGGAGGAGGGAAAATAAAAAAGAACCTTTGTTTTGTGACCGACTATACTTATAATACAAACCTTCTAAAACTGGAAAAAAATTCAAGCACTGCCAAAAGTAAAAATACTGTTTCTACTCCTAAAATTAGCTCCAAATAACAGTAATGACCTATAACTCCCAAATGCCTGCCGTGTCTAAGTCAGAACTACTGAAGTCTATCTGGATAATCCAACGCACAAGCTGAATTCTTCAAGGGCAAGAAGGCTCCTCTTCAAGACTCCATTTTGTTTACTTAAAGTCCAGGACTGCTGCAATCCATGAAGGAAGGGATAAAGAAGGAACTCAGATGGCCAGAATCAGGGCAGAAATGCTCACAACTTATTACTGAAAGCATAGAAATCTTTCTTGCCTAGTAGTGATAATAAAACCAGTTTATTTGTTGCATTCAAACCGGGCCAAGATGAGAAAGCTTTGTGCATGCAGAGTCCTTGCTTTGATGTTAACTGAAGGAAGCTTCAAGAAGCTTTGATCCATAGCCTGGACAGTTTCATTAAATAAGATGATCATGAAGAGTAACTATATCAGGAAAGTAAAGTAGTGAAGTTCTGTTTCCTTACAATGTAGCCACTGACCTAATAATACAGGGGGTCAGGCAAGCAGTTTACATTTAAACAAAATCTGACAAGATCCAAGGCAAGCCTACCCAGGAAAATAAATTCCAGCTTCCAAGAACATGATTCTTGCCACTTAACTACCATCCCCACCTACAAACAAAAACCTTTGTAAACAGCTTCCGTGAAAAGCTTATCACCATTTCACTGTAAACATTAAGCATATGATGTGCTCGTAGCTGAAGAAGAAAGCAGATCCAAACACAGAAGTCTTTTCTACAAAAAGATTAGTAAATACCTCCAGGCATAAAAAGAGAAGGGAAAAAAAGTCAGAACCACTACTGGGGAACTGATAGATTCTTAACCAAGTGATAAAGACCATGAAATAAATACATGGTGAGTGTAAGCATAACAATATAAAATACTTATGAACTCCTTTCGCTTGCAGTATGATTCAAAACTTGAATGCACAACAGAGACCGAATAGTTATAGAGGTAAATAACTAAACAAAGGCGACATAAAAGGGATGTCTAACCTCCTTGGGAAATAGGCTAACACTGGTTTAAAATGTTAGTAAGCAATGAGAATGTGACTTAAGCACTTATGCTGAAAAAGCAAGAAAAAAATTTTTTAATTAAATGCCTTGTAGGATGCCCACTGGACTGTAAATAGTCCTGCTGCAATCATGTTTAGTAACATTAGCTAGCTTTGGATAAGGAAAATAAAACCTCAGGAAGTCATTACTGGATGAGATGGTGGGGGGGGACACACTAGGCATTTCTGAAATATTCCAAAACCTGTGCCCCTCCACTTTCCCACAAGCTCTGAACAATAAAACACAGTTACAATTTGAGAAAAATTGATGTTTTCAGAATAAATGGTAATGGCTGCCTCCAAGAAACTACATTGCTGTCATATTAATTAATTATCCTTATTTCAGTTAAGGGTACCTTTGGAGCCTAAACCAGTGAGTGAAAGATATATTGGTCTATAATGACATGTATAGCAAGAGACCTACATTTGGTTCTAAGTATGAATGGCTCCTGCCAGAGCACCTGACCGACTACTGAAGACATGCTCCCCAACTTTCCACTCCCCAAACTGTCAAAATTCAAATCCAAGCATTCTATTCTCCCTTCCCCAACCCCATGCTAACTTATGACAATATGGTTACTTTTTCTGCTACACTAAAGATGGATGAAAATAGGGCTGGACTTAAACTTTATTTTTCCATCTTCATCTCTCCCCACTCCCACTCCCTAAATAATCCCACATTTAATAATACATTTTAGCTTTCCCCAACACACACGTAAGTTGTGTGTTGACATAAATAAGACAAAAAAAGGTAGGGAACCCTTACCTGACATTGATTAGATATTGAGCCAGGCTAATGCTGGCAGCAGATCCAGTGATGGTAACCTGCCTATCAGTAGATCCTTCCACTGGGTTCGCAATTTTGATCTGCGCCCCAGACATCTGACGGATCTCATTGATTTTAGCGCCTTGACGCCCGATTATGCAGCCAATCAACTTTAGGGAAGAAAAACAAGAATACACAGCAAATTAAGAATAGCATAGCTGAGTCTAAGAATTCCATCCCACCCCTCCTCCAGCCTTCTACAGCTTGGGTCCATGAATAAGGCAAAAAGGCACTGTAACTACTACTAGCTGCATCCTACACACTCTACTCATATACTCCTGTTGGAGTTACACACTGCTCTCAACTACTGCCTGTTCTTTTGTCTGACCACTAGAAGTCAGAGCTAAGTGAGCCAACTGACTCCTAGGAGCACAGCTCATTCATTTTCTCAGAGTAAATCCAAAGACAAAATAAAACATAGCAAAAATAATAACAAATCTAATTCATCATAATAAACCTAGAAATAAAAATACAGGGCCCTGGTCGGTTTGGTTCAGCAGTTAGAGCATCGGCCTGCAGTCCAGAGAGACCCGGGTTCAGTTCCCACTAAGGGCACGTATCTCGGTTGCAGTTTGTCCCTGGCCCTGGTTGGGTCATGCGGGTGGCAGCCACTCCATGTGCACCTTTCATGTCGATGTTTCTCTCTCTCTCTCTTCCTCTCTCTCCTTCCCATTCTATCCGAACAAAAAAATGTCCTCGGGTGAGGATAAAAAATAAATAAAAATAAAAATAAAGGCATCTTGGTTTTTTGAGGGCAACAAAGTTGCCTAAAACTCATCCTGCCATGATTATCACTTTACTACACAGACAAGAATTCTAATTTCTAATGCTTTTCCCTTGGGAAAAAGTAAAAACCTGGTCTACAGTTGCACTGTCTAGTCCTGTAGATACTAAGATGTGATTATTAAACACATCAAGTGTGGCGTGGGGCTAGAGAGATTGGGAAACTGTAGTTTTATTATTCTTAAACAGCCACATGTGGTTTGGTTAGTGAGTACCATATTGAATAGCACAGATATAACATCCAAAGGCCACTGCTTTAAGGATAAGGCTTCAGATTCTACAAGAAACAAAGGCAAACAGAGGCAAAAAGTTTCTTTCTACCTCATGAGAACTCAACAAAAGTTTCATTAATTTTCTTCACTGATTTATTTTTAAATCCTCACCTGAGGATATTTTTATCATCAGATAGTGGGAAAGAGAGACAAAGAGAGAAATATCAATGTTGAAAGAGACACATCGGCCCTGGCCGGTTTGGCTCAGCGGTTAGTGCGTCGGCCTGCGGTCCAGAGAGACCCGGGTTCGGTTCCTGCTAAGGGCATGTACCTTGGTTGCAGTTTGTCCCCAGCCCTGGTTGGGTTGTGCGGGAGGCAGCCACTCGATGTGTCCCTTTCACATCAATATTTCTCTCTCTCTCTCCCCCTCCCACTTTATCTGAACAAAAAAATGGAAAAATGTCCTCCGATGAGGATTTTTAAAAAAAGAGAGAAAGAAACACATCGACTGGTTGCTTCCCACATGACCCAACCAGGGCCTAGGACAAACCGCAACTGAGGTACATGCCCCTTGACCAGAATCAAACCCGAGACTCATTGGTCTGTGGGCCGATGCACTAACCGCTGAGCAAAACTGGCCAGGGCTCCAACGATTTTTTTTTTTTTTACATCCTCACCCAAGGACATTTTTCCATTTTTTGTTCAGACAGAGTGGGAGGGAGAGGATGAGGGTGAGAGAAAAACATCGACATTAAAGGGACACATCGAGAGGTTGCCACCCGTACGACCCATCCAGGGCCAGGGACAAACTGCAACCGAGGTATGCGCCCTCAGTGGGAACCGAACCCAGGTCTCTCTGGACCGCAGGCTGACGCGCTAACCACTGAGCAAAACCGGCCAGGGCTCTATCGATTTTTAATCAGGATCTAGATACTTTAAATTTTTTAATTTGGTATATAAACCCATTTTCTTTCCCTAGGCCTCAAAAGTGGCATGACACTACTAAGACTTCTATTCTTTAAAACCAATTCTTATCTTCATCCTATGCTATCCAACAAACTATACTTACATCATTTGGAATGGTGAGTTCATGAGAAGTAGTCTGAGCAGATGCATCCAAACCTGCTAAAAGACAGAAGAGAGCAAAAAAGTTCAATGCACAGCATACAAACACCAACTGATTTGCACATTAATCTAACAGAAGGAAACAAACTGGAAACCCAGCATTGGCTGTTGGGATTCATCACTAACTTGGAAACCTCAAAGAGTAAAGAGGGGTAGAGGGGTAGAAACAATGCTGGAAAGGTTCCTTTGTATACTCAGGAGAGCTGATTTCATGCCATTTCCTGCAAAGCCCAGCCTATTAGGGTGTAAGGGGATAGAAGCAATGGGGAAGGGAGTATGGTATCCTTAAACAGGACCAAAATCTAACCAAGTCCTTCTGCACTTCTCCCCTTTTCTGCTTAGAATTTCCTGCTGTTGTATTCCAATTTTATCTCACCTGATGCTCACTAGCACCAGTGCCAATATCATGCCTGTAATTGGGTACCATGGGCTCTTGGCACACATGCAGAGTTGCTTTAAATATACTTGTATCAGATTAACAGTGACCCCCCCACACACACACCCCCATACCCGCACTATCCTAACCTACACTCAAAGGTCAGAGAGAATGAAATGGCAGCCAGGTGAGGGAAGTTCATTTCTCCAGATTTATTTTCTGTCTTTTGCTCAATTGCTCATTTAATTTGTTCTGGTTTTTATTTTGTTTTCCAAAGAAAAAGAAAAAAAAAATCTGATCGGCAAACACTCGTACCCATCTATAATGGCACCTGGACTGGCCCAGGGCAGCTAGCTAACTCTCAAGTCTAGCCTTGCTCTCAGCTGTGGTTGTGAAACTCAACACTTTCAGAAGGGGGTTGGCCAGATCCATCAAGGGACCCTCAGGGGGCACCAGGCCCACCCTTTTGCTCTCTCAGCTTCTTTCTGCCATGTGCATGTTGCTGGTATGTCATGGGCAGTGAAACAAGACTCCCACCAGTTTATTAATATAACAGTAGAATACTACAGATTTTTTTTTTAATCATTACCCCAATAGCCTTTCACCTCTGGAGAGCTGGATTCAATGCCTGTTAAGATACAAGTGAAAATGAGTTTGGTGGTCTCATCCTAACCCTATCGGACAAGTTATTCCTTATACAGAAAAAAAGCCCAAAACAAAACAAAACAGAACCAAAATACACTACACAATTTGGCACAAATGGATTGTCTCTACCCAGCTCTGTGAAAGCTGGTGGAAAGAAAGGGGGTGCCAATCAGATCAAAGGGGCAGCAGTGAGAATGGGTTAGAAGAAATGTTAGCCTACCCTTTGCCTGACAAGCATCCCCTAACTTCACCCCAAACCTTCCAGGGCCTTTTTTTTTCTTTTAGAATAACTCACCCCAAATGAAAACCAAGTTAAACACATTACCTCCTTTGGTTTAGCCACAGAAGATAGGCAAGTTTAAACCAGCAGGATGCTGGGTAATGAAGTTTGTCTTAAACAGATGTCAAACTGAGACCTTGGGGCTGGCCTCTGTCTTGTACTACACCTTACAAAAATAAACACTGAGGAATCCATACCACTGAATCCGGTGTTGCCATGCGTCATGGGAAAATGAGACTGTTGCATTGCCAACTGGTGCAGCTTGGTCAACTACATGGAAGAGAACAGAAAGGTTGGCATTAGAAGAGCAACAGAGCCAAGATTCAAGCACATTTAAATTTGAAAATGCAGAGCTCCTGATCCCAAGTTGATTCTACTACTCAAACTACAACAGAGGGTAAGGATGGGGCTTCCAACACAATCCTGGGGATGGGCAGAATGCAAAGGTTTAAAACAGGAACCAGGTACAAGAGAATGAATGCATTTTAGGTGTATGAAAAGAAAAGCAGCAGCATCCGCCCAACATCCAACCCCTTGTGGGCTATTTAATAAAGGTGTTTGCAGCCATTGCCAAAGTTGCCTCTGGGACAAGCACAGACAGGCTAGGTAAATAAACTGTGCAGTGGTGCTAGGGAAAACACACCATGCAGGGTTCTGTCAGAATTGGGAGAAGGGAAGGAGATGAGGAGGGTAAGGAGACTGCAAGGAGGAGATTAAGATGAAACCAAGTGAGTTTTAGCCCCTCCCCCACTACTTATTTCTACAGCTATTTTTCTTCATCTATATAAACTATCTTGGCTGTTGTAAAATAATTCATCTTCAAGTATACTTTCCCTCTTGGAGCCTACTACTAACCAAGAGCCAAACTCAACTTCCCTAATCTAATGCTCAGCACCTACAAGTGTTAGTTAGGATACAGGAAAAGTGCAGAAAGAAATGCCCTTAAACAATCTGAATACTAACACTTTTAAATAGTAATTTTTAGTGGCAAGAAAGGTTTTATTCAATTGAATACCCAAATATTCAGCTTCCTATCCCTCCCTGTGTAAGCAAGCCCCTTTCCCACCCCTCCAGATGCTTTTAAAATTATCACCTCAAATTGAGGAATACCCAAAGGCAAACCCATCTCCCACTCCCCCCATGGAAAGGACTCCACACAGAGATGTATGGTTCACTGTCTGTGCCTGGAAATAACAAATGACAGAATACCATGGAACATTTCTCTTTTAGACTGAGTAATCTGGAACACGGGAAAATAGAGCCTAATATTCTGCCAGATTATAATTTCCAGGGATTAAATTCAAAAGACAAACAGGTGCCACTATGCCCTGATTAAAAATTATTTAAGGGCTGAAATATGGGATTTGCCTTGTGAGGAAAACACTTAATATTGCAATTGTTTTAAGACCCAACTCATTTCTGCCTACATGAAGAAAGGAGACAATTTTGGATGGGAGAGGGAGCTTTTCAAAAGAAGAAGTGAAAACAAAACTTACATCTGGCTGTGGAATGGCATACTGTCCTTGAATGGTATAGGCCTACAAAAGGAGGAAAACAGTTCCTATTAAAAACCAATCACGGACAGCCACCCAGTTGGGAGAAAAAGACAGATTTCAACTAGCCAGGAAGCCAGAGTTGAACTAGAGAATGGGGAGGCCAAGGATCGAGGCAGTAAATGCTATCTCACAAATACAGTCAGACCCGAGTTGGCCTTCTTTGAATCCTAGTTATGACTTATTCTGGGAAGCCTATAAAGGGAGCCATAGCCATGTTCCCTGCAATCAAAGGCAAAATACACATCAGTTTCTTAATGAAAATGTAGGAAGTGGAATTAAGCAATGCCTCGATTGACCAAGCCTCCTTCTTTCTCCCTGTGTACAAGATAGCCTAGGAGGAAAATGGTCTCTTCCCTCAACCACCCCAACACCTCTACAAATCATGGTGATATGAATGATTTGTGTTTGCACAAACCTACATGGCATGTTTTGAAACACATTCCTTTCCCTATCTTGTTTTTCTTTACATCTGCCTAAAGACCTTAAACGCACTAGAAGCTAACTGAGTCCCTAAGTACTAGGGCGCCAACACAGAATACACACATACACACACACACACACACACACACACACACACACACAAAATCACTGGGTCCTAAGTCCTGCCTTCTCCCACCTCCCCTCCTTAAAAGGCACTTGCAGCTCCCACTACGCCCTCCTCCCACCACACCATAACCTCCGAAAAAGAGTTGGGTCTTCAGGGCAATGGGGTGGGAGACAAGAAGGAGTAGGAAGGGCAGGGAAGGAAGGAGTGGCTGGCTAAGAGGATGTGAGGCTTCTCACATCAGTGGCCAGTACCCCCAAAAGTACACCCAGGTGGGGGTGGGAAGGTGAAAATGGGGGAGGAGTGGAAGATGGGGAAGAGAGGTTGAACAAAAAGAAAAAAAAAAGAGAGTTGGTGTTACCATCTGGTGGGCTACGCGGCCTGTGTGAAATGAGGTGTGGGGGGGGTCAGTCCAGGTCCCCGTGGACAGGTGGTGTCCACAGCACAAAAATCACCAGCGCCACTGGCCCCCCGCGTGTTGGCAGTCTCAGCTGAGGCGGAAGGATTGAGTGAGCCTTGGAGACTGAACATCCCCTCTCACCTCTAGAGGTGGTCCCTCCAGGTCAGGGTTGAGGCACATGGACGGGGTGGTGTGGGGAAAGCTCGCACTGTCGCTGCCTGTGGTGTACCTGTCCTGTGGATAAATAGAGGATTTCAGTCTCCAGGGCTGTCAATCCGGCACCTTGTCACCAGCATGAAATTCACACAAAAAAAGTTGTTTAATTTTTCCTTTTCCTTTAAAAAGTAGCTCACAACACAATTTGAAACGAGCTGCAATCAGTCAATTAAAAAAAAAAAAAAAGGTTACCTAGAGGCAGATTTCACACTGCACAATTGGGCTATTTTCAGTAAGAATAAAGGGGTAAGGCAACAGAGCTGATGCCAGCTCCTGGTCAGTGGGGGATTAAGTTGAACCCCTATAGAGCCCACTTTATCACAAATGAACAAAAGACACAGGTCCACCTGTGGACATTGCATGAACTGGTCCATTTAAAAAGGCCCATGGGAATAATCCATGACAGGGCCACTCATGGAAGAAGCTGCAAGCTTTTAGAGGGTGGTCAACTGAATGAAGGGGGGGAGGGAAGGGAAGCAAAGAGGTAAGAAGGGGGAGGTGGGTAAGGGAGGGAAGGAAAGGAAAATGAAGGAAGAATTGTAAATAGAAAGGAGTGCTGTGGCACAGCTTAGGAGTCTTTATAATCCCAAAGGGGAGAAGCATCCAGAAGAGCAGGAACCTGGAGTTCCTGGAGAGAAGGGAAAAAAACTCCTACAGCTAAACCTTGCTACACTGACTCTGGCTGGGCCTTTGCTTATCCTGCCCCTTTTCAGATCAACTGACAGTCCTTTGATCAAACCAGTTTGCACAAGGCTAGTGTTAAAAAGCAAGGTACTAAACTGTTTCAAGGTAACACTGTGACATGATTGACTTCTTGTGAAAACTCCCAAAATTACATGACAAACTAAGTCTCCCAAAACTTGTTCAGTTTTATGCCAACTCAACAGAATGTGAATGAGCCTGACTTCAAGTTTATGCCTCCCAAGTTCAAATACAAGATGGAACTAAATAATTGTGCTCATAAACAGGACAGCCCCATGTGGGTAAAGGAATTTTGAGTAAAGCACTTGTTTAGGCAGCTACCAAAATGAAGGTCACTATTCCGACCTGCAACCCAGTATTTTAAAAACTGACCTACCTACTCCTCAAATACTAACCAATAAAGCATAAAACTACCATGGTGATCAATGCTCTTGTCGTAAAGATCTAACTTCGTAATAAACCATCCATGTGCCGAGGATCAAGTGTTTAGGTGGATGAAGGAGCAGAAGCAGCCCAAGGGGGTATTTGGTGTTCTTACTCAAACACCAAAGGTCACAGCACCACTGCCCAACATGCTCTCCCCCACTTCTATTCTTGCACACTGAACCATTTACCCCAGCTGATTTGTTATGCCATGTGGGTTCAAACCAGTGTTTATGAGGTTAAGAATCTGGGGAACAACACACTGGAATTTGGGAGTGAAGGGGTAGGAGTAGGGGAGGTGAGGTGGGGGGAGGGGAAGTTTGTAGGACACTCAAGTTCTGGACCCCCAATTTTGAGACCACCATCCAGAATCTCCTTCAGAGGTCCAACTCTTTGCTACCTTTATTCAGACCTCTAAAGACTACCCCCATTAAAAAACAAAAACCAAAAACATGGATGGAGTGGGAATAGGGATAGTGACACCAAGACAATTTAACCCTTTTTCTAAGCCAACCCACCTTAAATCACCAAGTAATTGACCTCTTCGAGTGCCTACAAAACTCCCATTGCCTGTTAAAATTAAATAAGGGCTTGGCATTCATAGCTTTCTCCAGTACAAAAAAACAAATAAAACTAAAAGCAGGTCAAACTACGGCCAGAGTATATGTCTCAGCAAGCATGCAGAGTGGCCTCATGTGCTGCTGGCAAAGTCGACATTTCAAATATAATCCTCGTTCATATCTAGCCCAGCAATAAGAATTTTCTTACCTGACCACCTGCAAAGATGACCGGAGAACTGGACGGCTTGGGCCGGTACGGGATGGTCACGCCCTTCGGGGGGGACTGGGAGAGAGTCAGAGGGGAAAAAAACAAAAAGAGATAAGGTTTCAAAGCTGCTTCAGCTGTGTGGCTTAAGCTCACACAGGTCAGTTAAATTAAAAACTGTATTTCCATCCCCTCACCTACCAACGTTGTCTCTGGCTAGATCTAATCTGAAATCATCTGCAGTTATTTGTCTTTAAAGTAGTAAGATGGTCCATGGACTACACAGCTCACACTAATTCTCATCAAGGCAGATTCCCCTGTAATAATTTAGGCATTATTTCCATGTTTTCAAATGAGTCTAACAAACATGAAAAAAAACCTATGTGGTACATGTGTACATTTCAGTTGGTGATTTTAGGATCTTAATTTGGGCCTGAATAGGAAATTAAGCCAAAATAGAAAATACAGCACCCAAATGTTACACCTAAAAGAATACAGACACTATCTATAAATAGTCCAAAGGCTCATTCAATATTTTTCTAAACTCTACTTAAAAATTTTACTTTCCAGCTCTGGCCGGTTTGGCACAGCGGTTCGAGTATCGGCCTGCGGTCCGGAGAGACCCGGGTTCGGTTCCCGCTAAGGGCATGTACCTTGGTTGCAGTTTGTCCCCGGCCCTGGTTGGTCGTGCGGGTGGCGACCACTCGATGTGTCCCTTTCACATCGATGTTTCTCTCTCTCTCTGTTCCTCTCTCCCCCTCCCACTCTATCTGAACAAAGAATGGAAAAATGTCCTCGAGTGAGGATGATTAAAAAAAAAAAAAAAAAAAATTTTACTTTCCTTTGTCACCAATATGAATCCAACTCCATATGATAATTCTAAAATGTAATGTCCCTTAATTTTGCTATTCTTTCTTTAATTGAACAACACATACCAGGACCTTCATAAGTCATTCATAAACACCATTATGGATACATTTTTTTCTATACAACTATCACTTAGAATATAATCCTGCCACAAAACAAAGAAATTTAGAGAACTCATTTAAAGTTGAACGTAACCAAAATTCTGTAATCCAAAAGACAACTTAGCTTCTCAGGAACCCAGATACATCTTCTAGCTACTCAGTCCAAATAGTGAAGTTTCCTCTACCAATCCCACTAGAATTGCTATAATCCAAAAGATCACTGTTGCTTAGCAGTTTCTATTTTTTCCTCAGACTATAAGAAAACATAAAGATGGGGGGAAGAAAAATATGATCTCAGGGAACTTCTCCCTACCCCCACTGGAAGCTTCTAATAGCTGCACCTAATTCTGGTCTTACTAAATATAGATTAGCTGGTCTCCCCTAATCACCCTCCCCCCATTCTCATCATGAGCCTGAGGGCTTACCTCCAACATGACCACGCAGATCTGTTTCACACACTCAATGATGGATTGCGGAATGCCAGCAATAGTGATGGCCCGCTCAGTTGAGTTGGGGAGCATATCCCCTGCCACCTGGACCTGAGCCCCTGTACTCTGGGGTAAAAAGAAATTTAAAAATCAGAGAAAAATAGTTCATACTTACTCTTACAATTCTTCCCAGTTAACAACTTTAGAATCTAAATACGATAGATATTTATCCCACCTCCTACCTTACTCTTTTTTAACTTCCCTTCCTACTCCTCACTTATTCCAGATAGGACCATTTAATCACAGTTATAAATAAATTAGCCTCTGACAGCTAAGAATAAGCCTGCACAACAGTCTAAATTTAACCTGCTCTCAAGAAAAAGGTCCTTCTTTTCCTTTCAGCTAATGTTAACTGTGGGCTAACTGTGGGCTATCAAACAAAAGCCCCACAATTATCACCCATTTTCATTCCTATTAATCAAATATTTATATTAAGCCCATGTTATGTACCAGGCACCATTTCAGATGCTAGAAATACACCAACAAAATCAAAATCCCTATTCTCATGGTACAACCGGCTCCCAAAATCTCAAACTCATTTTCCTTTAGAAATCATTCAAATTTAATTCCAACATCCAACTCAGTAACTCCTAGATACAGTTAAAAGCTTCCATAATTCAGTGTAACTTCCACAATTTAAAAGAGAGTGAGATTACCGCTACATCCCAATATACCTTCCTGTTCTGGCCAAGGAAAACATTTGCTATTATGATATATCAAACTGTAAACTCCTTATACGTTAAAAAGAATCATGCAGTTGCCAAATCATTAAAAATTGTAAAACAAGTAATATAAAATAGTTGGAAATTCTAGTTAACTTTTTCAATCTGATTTACTCTTAAAAATATATGAACTGTAAAAAAAACAATTGTACAATACTTTCCATCTCAAAATAATCAAGTTGTAATCTTCTAGGACTGTTTCTTTTATAATCTTCAACAAATGCTAACTTTTCCTAGTCATACTTAGAGCTAATAGAAAAAGCCACATAAATAATACTTAATGCAAAAGGAGCACAAAAGTGACCAACCTCTCGTATTTCCTTGATCTTGCAACCACCTTTCCCGATGAGAGAGCCACACTGACTAGCAGGGACCACCAGCCTCAGGGTGACTGGGGGTCTACTGGCAGCTGTGCTATTGGTCATAGAGCTGCTGATGTCCTACAAAAAGAAAATTAGTCAGAACACTAGAATATAAAAAGTTTAAAGCAGGATCCCTGGGAACACATAACTGCCATAAAACAACCACTTACCCTTAATAAGGGACATATCATACATACATATATATCTATATCATGACCCACCATCAAAAAATGTCCCCTTCAAAACAACTATTTTTGAAAAGGTAACACCTACAAACTTCATCAGAATTAGCCCTATATATATTTATTCACCCTGGGGGAAATGTTGTTCGTAGAGAGAGAAAAACAATTATTAGTTTTGGAAATTAAGTGTTAACTGACCAAAGGAAAACAAGATTAAAGTCAAAATTAAATAAAATGTGAGCCAGGCTGGTGTGGCTCAGTGTTTGAGTGTCAACCAATGCACCAACAAGTTGCCAGTCAATTCCTGGTCAGGGCACATGCCCAGGTTGTGGGCCCTGATTCCCAGTAGGGAAATGTGGAAGGCGGCCAATCGATGTTCTCTCTTCGATGTTTCTATCTCCCCCTCTCCCTTCCTCTCTCTTAAAATCAATAAAGAAAAAAAACTATATTGGTTCCAAAGCCCACAGTCTTTCCCATAACTATGCTGCATTCCAAAAGTCATGGATTTAACCTAGTTAAATTTAGACTTCTGAAGATTAACTGGTTTAAATATTACTCCTCAGCCCTAACCTCTATATAGTAGCTACAACCTGAGAACTGCTTAAACATAAATTCTCAAGTCAAGGACATGTTTCTTATTTGGTTAAAGTATGAACAGTAGATTTTCTGAATGTTTGTTAAGCCACAAATTCTGGGTTAGCAGGATCTTGTAGATCAGAAGGTAACATTTCTCATCTTGGCAAGGTAAGTTTTCAGCCACCATTAAGTATCCAAGCACCAATCAAGCAACAGCCAGAAGCTCTCCTCTGCCTGTGGTGTCAATTAGAGATTAGCAGTATTACTGCAGAAGAGAGAGGAAGCCAAGACTGAAGACAAGATCTTGGGGGATGGTTTATGGCTGTTCAGCACCTGAAGGGTGAAAGTGGCTTGGTGGGAAAAAAACACAAAACTTCCTATGCCAAATAGCCTGAAATGAGTATTTTGCTTTTGATTGATAATCTGTAAGACATTCCCTCCTCCAAGAATAGCTTCAACACAAAATTATCAGATTGATTTTTTTTAAAAATATAACTGGCCCTGGCCAGTTTGGGCTCCGTGGTTAGAGTGTCAACCCGCGGACCGATGAGTCGTAGGTTCGATTCCAGCCAAGGGCACGTACCTTGGTTGTGGTTCATCCCCAGCCCTGGTCATGGTCAGGAGGGAGGCAACCTTTCGATGTGTCCCTCTCCCGACAATGTTTCTCTCTCTCGCCCTCCCTCCCACTCTATCTGAAGATAAATAGAAAAATATCCTCTGGTGAGAATTAAAAAAATATATATATAAAAATATATAACTGCACCCAGGATTGGAAGACATCTGTATTTGTGGGTACATTAGTGTTTAGCAGGGCCCCTAATAAAGCACATTAATCTAGTTCACTCAACTATGAACTGGGAACACCAAGTTTACCAGCACAGTGGTGGTATGCCTTAAAAACTATTGGTCAAGATTCATAAACAATGCTGCTTTTCCACAAAAATTTTTTATAGTGAGACCCTAGTAATAGTCAAACTATTTGTTTTAATACTCAATTGACTTATTTTTTAAATTATAGATAACCAAATTTTGGAAATGCTGAAAGGGAGCAAAGAACCTATCTACAGTCCAGCCGGTGTAGCTCAACGGCTGAGCATCGACCCGTGCACCAAGAGGTCGCTGGTTTGATTCCTGGTCAGGACACATGCCCAGGTTGTGGGCCAGATCCCCAGTGGGGAGCATGCAGGAGGCAGCCAGTTGCTGTTCTCCCTCATCGATGTTTCTCTCTCTCTCTCCCTCTCCCTCTCCACTTCCTAAGACCAGTAAAGAAAAAAGAAAAAAGAAGTAAAATCAAAAATAACTTATTCACAGACTTTTATCGTCTAGTCTGTCCTTGAGTTTAAAATATCCTTTGAGCCCTGGCCGATTTGGCTCAGCAGTTAGAGCATCGGCCTGCAGTCCAGAGACCCGGGTTCAGTTCCCGCTAAGGGCATGTACCTCGGTTGCAGTTTGTCCCCGGCCCTGGTTGGTTGTGCGGGTGGCAGCCACTTGATGCGTCCCTTTCACGTCGATGTTTCTCTCTCTCTCTCTTCCTCTCCCTTCCTCCCACTCTGTCTGAAGAGAAAATGGAAAAATGTCCTCGGGTGAGGATTTAAAAAAAAAAAGAAAAGAAAAATGTCCTCAGGTGAGAATAAATAATAAAATATCCTTTGACAATCCCTAAGCTATCTAGAAGCAATTAAAAGTGAAAAATGAGAATGAGGGAGGAAGAACAAACCTCTTCCAGTTTGTCAATGATCATAGCAAAGGCTTTGAAGATGGCATTAGTGGGTCCAGCCAAAGTAATAATTCTCTCAGGACAATTCCCTTCTGAGATGTTGATACGTGCACCACTCTGGATAAGAAACAGAACCAAAAGTTAAATAGACAAAAGATCAGAGAATACATAGATATATAGACTCTCCTAAATAACATGGGCAAAGAGGTCCTACACACATGATCCTGACACAAGGCAATGTCAGCATCATTTCAAATTCTGTTCTATGTTTGTACTCAAATAGACTACAAAACTTGCTTTAAGCTCTGGCTGGCTTTGTCCCTATATATCAAGGTTGTGGGTTTGAGCCCTGGTCAGGGCACAGACAAGAAGTAACCAAAGTGGAACAACAAATCAATGTTTCTTTCTCTCTCTAAATATCAATAATTTTTAAAAACTGTCTTAAGTCTTGAATTGAGGCTAGCTAGAACTACATTTCCCAGCATACTACTTGTGATTAAAAATAACCACGCCAGAAAAATACTAGCAAGATTCTTCTCCTGAGACCTTCGCCCTTCTAATCACTTAAGTAGAATTTTTAATTCCCAAGGTAACAGTCCCCAAAACTCCCCCATAACTCACCTCCTCCCGCATCTTCTTAACTGATTCTCCTTTCTGTAAGAGGAAAAATCAAGAGTGAGTTCAAACTAATTCAACCCAGAATGACTAAATAGTAATTAGAGTTGAAATGAAACGGTCTTACCTTTCCAATGATACTGCCAACTTCCTATAATGAAGAAAACTAGTGTCAAATAAGAGAAAGCTTGAAGTGTTCACTATTATGAATAAGAATTTTTAACTGTTCAAAATAATTTTTTAAAACCAAGAATTTTGGGGAAGGGGAGTGAGCGGGATTATTCTTTACTCAAAATATAAGTGAAGCTCTCAAAGAATAAGGAATAACAATACAGGAATGACTAAGTGCTGTCTTTGTGTTCAATATAAGTTATTAAAAAAACAACATATCATCCCTGCTTCAAGTCTCCCAAATGTTTAGACAGAGGAAATCTCCCTATCACAAGCTACAGCTACCTCTATCAGAGAAATCTTATCACCAAGGTATGACAGTCTTTCTCTCTAGCCTCTAGTTAAGCCTTTCCTGATCAGTGGAGCTTCCCAGTGAAGCCTGTCCATTTTCCCACTACACTCTCTCATCTATTCTGCTTAAGAGTGCTAAAGCCAGACACCCCACAGTGCTAATCTGATGAGCTCCAAGATACATGTCCTCTCTTCCTGGCCCCTCCCCTAGCAGTTACTATGACCCAATTTCCCAAGCTGGTTCATACCTTTCCATGCATAAGTAGCCGGATGGTGAGAGTGACATTTAATCCACCTTCAATCACACCGGTGTCCATGTCGAGCAGTATTCTGGGGAGCTGGACTTTGAGTAGTCAAGTCTTTGGTCACTGGTGGGGGAGGAGGGGGTGAAAGCCAAAAACTGAAATGCAAACATGACCAAATGAGAGGAGGAAAACAATAGGAGAAATAGGTCCCTGTTATTTTCACCATTATCAGTGTTTCCAAATGACTCTTCCTTAAATGACAGCCTTTCAATTGGCAGGCTTGTATACATCCAACACAAATGCAATAATGACACCCATTAACAGCTCAGGTTCTGTTAAAGAGTATGGAAGGCGACTGTGACTGTCAGTTCTCATTAATGGTCAGGTTTCTGCTGACTCTTGGGATGAGGAAGATTCCTTCAATTGGCAATGGTTCTAAGGGGAACTGCTGAACGTGCACCACTCATCCTTCAGCAGAATTAAGCTTCAATAAATTACAGAAACACCTGGAAATCATGAGGTCAAACCTCAAACTAACCCACTATGGAGAGCAAATGACCTTCTGCTTCCCTGTTAGAGAGCAGGCTTGGGCTGAAGGCTAAAGAGGACACATGTAAATTTTCTTCCTAGTAGCAATTTCTAGGTAAAGAAATTGAGATGAAACTCTAATTAAAAGTTTTAATGTTGATAGATGACATCAAATAATTAAGATTTAAACCAATCACTGAAAAAGGCATTATCTGAAATGCCCTCCATGTAGGCTAATTTTCCATATTCTTTAGAAAATGACTCAATACATTCATTTAGTATAGCCTTCTCTCAACCCAAGTTGATAGTCACTCAGATTTAAAATGTTTTCTTGCTTCTGTTTATTAACCTTTTTCACCATTCAGTCTTTATTCAAGTCTCTTAAATTTTCTTCCAAAGAAAACAATAAAAATAAAACTGATATTGCTAAAAATGTACTGTGTAGTTGTTTTGAGCAACAACAGTAATGAGTCTTTCCTACTAAGAAAGTCCTTTCCCCAACTAGCCTCAACTTAACATTTCTTTTAGAACATTGACAATGTTTAGAGAATTTGTTTTGATATACCTTCACCTACAATACCCTTAGGACCTAACAGTGGCAGCTGTAAAAGACTTTCTCCAAAGTTAAGTTTCTTCACTGACATTTCTAGTATCCCTCCCTTCAAAATTCAACAACGAGCTCTTTTACAGCTAGTTTCCCTTCACAAAACTGGTCACCGTTTTAACTTTATGCTAACACTAAGCCCTCACCCAAAATACTTAAAAATGTTTAAGCGGCTGCTAGACAATTCTGTATATGGCAAGCTGCCCCATGGCTACCTCAGAGTGTGATTTTTTTAAAAGATGGGCTTTACATCCCAAAGCACTCTTCCCCCATTTTCAGAATAATTATTGCTGGCAAAAATCCAAAAATTTAACACTTTCCAATCATGGTAAAACAAAAGTGCTGGGGATGGAGGATAAGGGGGAGACGGGGCAGACTCAGGTCTTTAAGAATGACTTTTATTTAATAAGATACTGTAACACTGATAGTTTAGGTCCTTATTCCCACTCACAGGAAGCACTTCACAAATATCACAAAAATGTAAGTTTGAAAGGGCAAGAAAACTGAAAAACCTGTATGAAGCCATTTCTTGAAGTACGGCACGAAGGTGCATTTCTAACTGCAAATCATTCAAAAAATTTCTCTCCTGACTAGGTGAATATAAATACACAATCCCAGCAATACAGCTGTTAATCCGGCAGTCCATTACCCCTTCTATAAATAGCTCGGCATGAACCTATACCGGCTAGCATTTTGTAATTTCAAAATTCGTTACCCCGAGAGAACGTCCTGAATAACTCGGTAACAGGGAGGACCTGTCTACCCTTTCTTTAACTCCGCAGCCCCCCACCCCTCGGTCATCCTGGCATTTTCCGCTTAAAAAATGCCTCCCCTCCCATCCCTCGACTAGAAGAGGAAAAAAATAAACGGTTCGGTCGGGGGGGGGCGCTGCGACCCAGGGGGAGGAGCCGGACTAGCAGCGCCTCTTCGCGTGGCTGCGCCAGCGCCTGACCCCCGCGGGGAGCCGCGCTCACCCGCCCGGCCAGCAAGCCGGCCATCGCCTTCCCCCACCCCTCTCAACCAACAAATCCACCGCTGCCCCCCCCAACCGCGCGCGCGCGCCCTCCTTAACTCCTGCGCAGCCGCCACCGGGAAAAGGCGGGGGGAGGGGGAAAGGCCTTGCACGAGGCCTACTAGGCCGCGCCAGAGCCAGGGCCTCGCGTGAATGGCCGGCCTGCTGAGTGAGAGAGTAAGCGCTCACGCGAGACTACGCGAGGCCGAGGCTCGTGACGAGGACCGGAGCCCGCTAAGAAAGATGGCAAGAGGAGAAATAGTGCTATAGCTGGGGGCGGAGGGAGAATTTTGAAGCTTACCTGCAGGCGCGAGGCGACTGAGGGGAAAAGGGGAGCGGGCGGGAAGGGGAAGGGCGGGAGGCCGGGGGCGGAACAATAGGGGCGGGCGGGAAGGCGAGGGGGGCCCCGCGGGCGGGCGGAGGAGGAAAGGGGGGGTGGAGGAGGAGGAGGAGGAAGGGGGAAAGAGACCCCGGGGCGGGTGGAGGGCGGCGGAGGGCGGGCGGGCGGGCGGAGGGCGGGCGGGCGGGAGAGGGCGCAGGCTGCGGCTGCTCCGGCTGCTGCCTCTGCTGGTCTGGGAGGGGGACGGGGCGGAGCGGCCCGCTTTCAACCCCGCGCACCCTCCGACCCCGGAAGCGCTAACCGCCCCGGGGCCGGCGAGGCGACTGCGTCGTCCAAACCTTCCCCACGCAATACAGATGGCCTCCCAATGGCCTAGAGCGGCTCTGTGGACAGCATCAGCACCAGAGAGACAACACCTGGTAATACATGGCGAAGTCTATTATAGAGCGGCAGCATGGGGGCAGGGAGGAAACTAGTGGCCCCTAGTGGCGTAATTGGAAAGTCCAGGAGTAAGTGCGAAGAGAGTTGGCAGTGGACATGGATAAAGGAGACAAGAGGGAAAAAGAGATGGCTGAAGACATCCATCTGAGATGAGAAGAAACGGGAAGAACTCGGTAATCTACAGTGATACTCAAAAACAGAAAGAGAAAAACACGAAGTTGCCACATTGGAGGTAACTTTTACACCAACTCCTTACTCTGAAAATTACTAACTAAAAAGGAAAGATTTAAGCATTTACCCTCTCTTTTTAAGAACTGCAATGTATTCTTAGTTGATAAAACTTTTAAAAAGAGTTCCATCTAATAAATGTAGAAGAAATGAAAGGGTTAGAAAATCACCAGTCATTCTGCAACACAATATGAAATAATTGATTCAAACAAGTGTTATAAATCACCAAAACTTTAAGCAAAAGGTTGTTAGGGAACAGGATATTATCATGGTGCCAAATATCACCACACAGATTATTTGCAAATCGCACAGAAAAAAAATGTAACTTGAAATGGAGTGCTCTGATAGCCAACACCTTACTCAAGGGATCAAACTTTGCATCGTTAGTAGTAGGGCAACTTTGACATATTGTAGGAGAAATACTATGTAAAAAGTGCGTGATGAAATATTTAAGGGTAAAGAGCCATGATGTATGCAACAGACTTTCAAGTGATTCACATAGGTATATCAATAGAGCAAATATGGTAAAACATTACCAATTGTTGAGTGTAGGTGGTAGGTTGTGGGTGACCATTGTAATGTTTAAACTTTATTTTTCTTAATTTTTTTTCTTTTTTTTTATCCTCACCACAGGACATTTTTCGATATTTTGTTCAGATGGAGTGGGAGGGAGAGAGAGAGAGAGAAATATCGATGTGAAAGGGACACATCGAGTGGTTGCCATCCAAACGATCCAACCAGGGCCGGGGATAAACTTCAACTGAGGTATGGGCCCTTAGCGGGAACCAAACCCGGGTCTCTCTGGACCACAGGCCGATGCTCCAAGCGCTGAGCCAAACTGGCCAGGGCTCTTTTTCTTAATTTAAAAAAAAATCTTCACCGGAGCCCTGGTCAGTTTGGCTCAGCGGTTAGAGCATCGGCAGGTGGTCCAGAGAGACCCGGGTTTGGTTCACCCTAGGGGCCCATACCTCAGTTGCAGTTTGTCCCTGGCCCTGGTTGGTCCTGCAGGTGGCAGCCACTCAATGTCGATGTCTCTCTCTCTCTCTCTCTCTCTCTCTCTCTCTCTCTTCCTCTCCCTCTGTCCCACTCTATCTGAACAAAAAATGGAAGAATGTCCTCAGGTGAGGATAAAAAATATCTTCACTGGAGAATATTTTTTCATAGATTTTCACATAGAGTGGGAGGGAGAGAGATAGAAAGAAACATCAATGTGAAAGAAACAAATTGACTGGCTGCCTTCTGCACAACCCCAACCAGGGCCTGGGACTAACCGAAACCAAGGTACGCGCCCTTGACCAGAATTGAACCCTCGACTCATTGGTCCACGGGCCAACACACTAACTGCTGAGCCAAACCGGCCAGGGCTGTACTGTTTAAACTTTTAAAACTAATTTTCATTAATAATAATTGGGAAGCCCTGGCCGGTTTGGCTCAGCGGTTAGAGCATCGGCCTGCGGTCTGGAGAGACCCGGGTTCGGTTCCCGCTAAGGGCATGTACCTTGGTTGCAGTTTGTCCCCGGCCCTGGTTGGTCGTGCGGGTGGCAGCCACTCGATGTGTCCCTTTCACATCGATGTTTCTCTCTCTCTCTTCCTCTCTCCCTCCTACTCTATCTGTGCAAAAAATGGAAAAATGTCCTCGGCTGAGGATAAAAAAAATAATAATAATAATTGGGAAAAATATGTAGAATGGAACAAGATTGTCAAAATGTTGATAATTGCTGAAGGTAGGTGATGGGAATATAGGAGTCCATTCAACTGCTTTCTTGCCCTGGCCGGTTTGGTTCAGCGGTTAGAGCGTTGGCCTGCGGTCCTGAGAGACCCGGGTTCGGTTCCTGCTAAGGGCGCGTACCTCGGTTGCAGTTTGTCCCCGGCCCTGGTCGGTTGTGCGGGTGGCAGCCACTCGATGTGTCCCTTTCACATTGATGTTTCTCTCTCTCTCTCTGTTCCTCTCTCTCCCTCCCACTCTACCTGAACAACAACAACAACAAAAAATGCTTTCTTTACTCTTATAAACTTCCACATTAAAACTTAAACACACACACACACACACAAAGCCCTGGAAGAGAATAAGGCAAAATTAGGAGAAAGAAATTAAAGAGTCAGCCCTGGCCAGTTTAGCTCAACAATTAAACCATCTGCCTGCTGACCAAGGGGTCCCAGGTTCTATTCCTGGTCAAGGGCACATACCTGGGTTACAGGTTCCATCCCCGGCCCAGGTCAGGGTCATTCAGGAGGCAACCAATCGATGTGTCTCTCACACTGATGTTTCTCTCTCTCCCCCAACCCCTTCCACTCTTATCTAAAAATCAATGGAAAAATATCCTTGGGTGAGGATTAACAAAACAAAGAAACAACAACAACAAAAAGGAAATTAAAAAGATAGCACAGCCCAGCCAGTGTGGCTCAGTGGCCAGTGTGGCTCAGTGGTTGAACTTCGACCCATGCACTGAGAGGTCACCGGTTCAGTTCTCCATAGGGGTGCATGCCCAGGTTGTAGGCCCGGTCCCCAGTTGGGGGCATGTGGGAGGCGGCCAGTCAATGTTCTCTCTCATTGATGTTTTTGTCTCTCTCTCCCTCTCCTTCCCTCTCCCTTTCTCTCTCTCTGGGATCAATAAAGAAAAAAAAATTTAAAAAGAAAAAGAAGATAGCACATATGGATTTTTTTTGTGTTTTTTTAAATCCTCACCTGAGGATATTTTTCCATTTATTTTCAGGTAGAGTTGGTGTGGGGGGTAGTTGGGGAGAGAAACATCAATGAGAGACGCATCAATTGGTTGCCTCCCACATGACCCGACCGAGACCAGGGATTGAACCTCCAACCCAGGTACCTGCCCTTGACTGGGAATCCAACCTGTGACCCTTCAGTGTGCAGGCTGACTCTCTAACCACTTAGCCACACAGGCCAGTGCAAAAGCAATTCCATTTTTAATTTTTTAAAATATATATATTTTTTCAATTTTCTTTTCTTTGTTGATTTTAAAGCGAGAGGAAGGGAGGGGGGAGAGAGATAGAAACATCGATGAGAGAGAACATCTATTGGCCACCTCCTGCATGCCCCCACTGGGGATCAGGCCCACAACCTGGGCATGTGCCCTGATCCAGAATCAGTCTAGCGACCTCCTGGTGCATGGGTCAATACTCAACTACTGAGCCACACCAGCTGGGCTTAAAAATATTTTTTTATTGATTTATTTATTTATATATATATATATATTATTTTATCCTCACCATATATATATTATTTTATCCTCACCCGAGGACATTTTTTCTTTTCTTTTCTTTTTTTTTTTTTTTGTTCAGATAAGAGTGGGAGGGAGAGAGCACAAACCCAATTCCCCCAGGAGCCAAGCAAATAATGTCATTAGGAGAAGCTGCCCTAAAGAAAGGCAACAGGCCCTGGCCGGTTTGGCTTAGCAGTTAGAGCATCGGCCTACAGACCAATGAGTCGCAGGTTCGATTCCAGTCAGGAGCACGTACCTTGGTTGCAGTTTGTCCCAAGCCCTGGTCGGGTTGTGCAGGAGGCAACTAGTCGATGTGTCTCTCTCACATCGATGTTTCTCTCTCTCCCTCTCTCCCTTTCTCTTCCTCCCTCCCATTCTAGCTGATGATAGATGGAAAAATATCTTTGGGTAAGGATTAAGAAAAAAAAATCAGAACAGCAAAAAGAAAAAAGTTTTTTTTTTTAAAGAAAGGCAACGGCCCTGGCCGGTTTGGCTCAGCAGTTAAAGCGTCGGCCTGCGGTCCGGAGAGACCCGGGTTCGGTTCCCGCTAAGGGCATGTACCTCGGTTGCAGTTTGTCCCCGGCCCTGGTTGGTAGTGTGGGTGGCAGCCACTCGATGTGTCCCTTTCACATCGATGTTTCTCTCTCTCTCCCTCTCTCCCTCCTGCTCTATCTGAACAAAGAATGAAAAAGTGCCCTCGGGTAAGGATAAAAAAAAAAAAGAAAGAAAGAAAGAAAGGCAACATGCACTCTCCCTCCAGGGAGTACGCCCATGTCTTTCCATGTCCCTTCCCATTCCTCATCCCCCCAGGAGCATTACTATTACCTTCCTTGCTCTTAAGCTCCAAGGGCCCTTCCTTTACCTTTATAACTTATTTCCTAAGCTCATTTCTTTTACAAATTACTCCTCTGTAATTTTCCAAATGAATGTTCTCTTATAGTTTGGATCTTGGCTCTGAATTCTTTCCTAGCCAGAACTCAAGTACCAAAGTTGCTGAACCTGGCTCTGGTCTGACCCCACAAGTCTAACACCTGGTGCCATTCTTACCACCCACAACATTATGGTGCCATGACTCGGATTATGTGGCAGGATTCCAGAGAAGCCCATCC